TCAAGATCCTTCAGAAAAAGAACAATGGAAATACTGGCTCTGCAATTGTTTCCTGCCTGCTTAAACCTTACTTGAATGGATCTGTAGCTAGAACAGCTGACTAAAGGTTAGCTTGGTGGGAAGTGTGAATGAAGGACTATTGGGTTTCTTTGCAGGTTGCTCAGGTTATGTTTCTGGCATGACATAAATTGGGTTGCTTGACCTCTGCATCCTCTCTTAATTTCATCTTGCCTTGGAGCTTCCCTGAGAATGGGACCAAGATTAGATCACTTTGATTAAATTAGCACATTAAGCTTGGAAAGTGAGGAAGCATCTTTCTGCAGCTCCTACCATTGCTGACCTTGCCCAGAGGCCCCACTCTGGCATCAGAGGACAGCACTTCTCCCTTGCTTTGTCCCAAAGCTAACTCCTAAGCCAGAATAAAACCCCGCCTTTAGCATGTAAGTGCAGCAACAGGTTCATCCATGTGTTGTTCTTCTCTCCCTGGGCATGTGTGGAGCAGGCACAAGAAACTTATGCAGTTGGCTGTTCGTGCACTGCATACATTCATACCTTGCTGAAGCAGCTGTCTTCAAAAAATGCTGTGCAGGGCTCTTCACTCCAGCCTCTCCTGCACAGGCGCCCCCATAGTTATGTGCAGAATGGCTCTGTTTGTCTGGGCCAGTGCATGTGTAGGTGGGTGTCTCCCTCCACTTCTCCTTCGAGTGGCTCACGATTTTTTTTTTTTTTTGGGAGGGACTGACTTGGGTGTCAAGTGTAAGCTCAGAGCAAAACACTCAAAGTTGATGTTGAAAGCACGAGGCTAGTCCCGAAATGCTGAAAGTAACTTGGATGAGGTGAAACTGTCCAGTGGCCAAACGGAAACCGATTCTTCCTTATAGCCATCGGCTGATTGAGGTTTTCAGACCTCGGAGGAGAGCACTCTTGGCATGAAACACTTTCTCTGGGGACAATATCTTCACAGCTTTTAACTTGGACAAAAGATTTCTGTGTATTAGAGTCTTCCTGCCCCAGCTCCCATCTTGCACTTGGAGTCCCCTATAGCTATGGATGCATCCTGTTATTATTCTCCACTTCAACGGGGTTTAATTAAAATGCAGGTCTTTAATTTTTACTTTTTCCTTCCTGTTGATTCGACTGTCTCTGCGTGAGCGAGGTCTTGCTGCAATTACTGTGCTCCCTGTGGAGAAACAGGCATTTAATTCAGCGAGGCAGACTCTTTCTTGGAGGGGGTTTATTTTCCTGATTTTCCTACGCAGAGGGATGCAAAACCAAAACATCCAGTGAGTAAAGAATGTGACACTTTATTTGTTGTTCTGTTTGCTGAATCTCGGTTACCAAATGTGATGTTTTTGCAGATAGCTGCCTCCTTAAGCAAAGAACTCATGATGAAGCTGCTCTGCACGACTTGCATTAGAGAGGCGAGTTGAAACTGTTGGGTCAGGTCCAGGTTTCCTCTTGAAAACTGTGTTCTTGCAGCAGTGATGTAAAAAGATGGAGTTCTGTTGTAGAATGCATTAAGCATGATTTGTTAACCTGAGAATGGGGTCAGGCAAGTAACTTGTGCCTGCTTGCCATGAGGGGCACGTGAGTGACCAGAGGGGACACAGCTCCTCAGCAGACAGTGCCTGCTGCTGTGTGGGACCCAGCTGTGCTCCTAGCAGGGAGATCTACTATGAACCTTCAAATAAGGATGGAAATATTTGCTCTCAGTTTTCCACTGCCCTTATTTAACACTGCTTCAGCTAACTGTGCTTTTGCTAGCTAACCACCCCCATGCAACTGTAAGTCACTGCTGAAACAAACGTGCAAAGAAAGTTTCTCTGCACCTCCTGTATTGCAGGGGTTTCAAAATACTACAGGCTCTTTCAGATCCAGACTTGAGGCTTCCTCAGTTCCCTTGTGTGTGTATGATAGGTTATTTTCTGTGTTCACAGAGATCATGTCTATATGTATTAAAAACTTCTGAATGTAGCCTTATTCTGAATGTAGCCAGGTGGATCTTTGCGCATCCACTTGTGTCTGTCGTGTTTTTCTTACCAGCGTCTAACCTCAACAGGCTTGTTGATAGAAGTGGTTGCAAGATTGGTCTCTTTCCTGATCCCTAAGACTTGATGGACTTACAGCAAAACCAAGGCAAAAGTTAAGTGTATGTAAGGAGGTGCCACCATTATCAGAGGCAGTTATGATACGAATCCTTGCTGTGCCTGTGTGTGTGAGTAGTTCAGGATCCTTGTGCTGATGGCAGGGACACCACAGTGGCTCTGGATGCAGTTGACTCACTTGGTGTATGCCTTTTCGTGATGATTTGAGTGGGATATGACCCCTTTCTGCCACATATTCTGAAGGTTGCTTTCATTTGTAAGCTGGCCTGAAACAATAAGTATGTTGAGGGTAAAAGTGATTTGATGGGATTTAAACTCTGATTTTTATCCATCCCCACACACACCCCCGCTGATGGAGAGGATAAACATGTCATTGTTTTTTTGTGTGAAGTGCCTTTTAGTACCAGCAGCCCAGCCATGGGGGATAAAGAAAGCAGATGTGTCCCATGTCTTTTTTAACTGCTTTTGTTTTTCTGATCAATTTTTTTTTCCCAAGCAGCAAGTGCTCCACAGGGCTTGATCAAAGCTCATAAATGATGAATTGAAGGAATGCCCAGCGGAGAACAGAACGCCCTCCTTGTGCTTTGCTGTGTATGCTGAGAACATCATTGTTTCTTCCCGTACCTTTTCCATTCTCGGCTCGGGGCTGGAGAGAAAAGGCCTTTGTTCCTTGTCCGTCAGCTGAGACAATGCCAGTGTGTTGTCCTACCTCTGCTCTCAGCACCTGACTGGCCCAAGCTCTGTGGGTTTTGGCAAGCTGAGCGCAATTGTCCTCCAGCTACAGCATTACAAAGAAAACAAATGGCTTCACAGCCTCCTTCCTCCAGATCCTGGCCTGGCTGGTCCATGGCAGCAGCCACGTGTGCCTGTGCTTGCCGTTCTGTTCAGGATGAAGAGCACCCTCTCCTGCGCTCCAGGTTGAAGGATGCAGTTTCATCTTTCCCAGATTTCCAGTGCCCTTGGACACTTGGGTTTGCAGTTGAACATGCTGGTCTCTCCTGCTTCGCTCAGGGGAGGCTCCAGCCGTGGGGAAAGGGGCGCTTGGTTCCCCTTCGCCAGCCCAGCCCAACTGCAGTTGTCCTGCCCTCTTCTGCCGTCCCTCCTCCAGCACCCAATGCCATCTCCAGCACATTTGTCTCAGTGACACTGCACACAGCTGCTGGGGGTCTGACAGAGGCCCAGGCAGGCCCAGTTTTCCCACCTCCCTTGTAATTTCTGCAGCATCTCTGGCTTTGCTGTCTTCTGGTGCAAAATTCTGCAAAGGAGAGAGCTTGTAGATCTCTTTCTCTTGGTTTTAGGGGGCTGATAGCAAGAACCAGTACTTTGCAAATGAGCAGGGATAGCAGATGGCATGGGCTGGGGTGGAGAAGGGGCTGGAAAGGATGTGCTTGGAGAGGTGTTTGACTGCAGCCTGTAAGAGCTCAGACTGGCTCTGCCCTGTTGCTAGCCGTGTTCCAGAGTTCAGGCAAAGCCACGATTGTTTCTGGATGAGACAAGCGGCACTTGCTTCAACATCTGCCACAGCTCCTGTCAGGAATAGCCTTTAGCTGCATCTCCCCTGGAGTTTTGCAGCCAGGCTGATCATATCAACCCTGAGGCATTGCAGCAAAGCAATGTTTCAGCTTCCCACTATGGTCAGAAGGTGGTGGAGGTTCAAGTCACCCCTTGGCAGTACTGACTTGTTGGTATCCTGGCACCAGTGTGGAGTCCTGTAGTTCAAGTGCAGGCTTCAGTCAATAGCACTTGTGCTAGTCCTTCTTGGTCATGCACCTAAATCCAGCATAAGGTCCTCTTCCTTTCCCATCTACTGCTAGACTTCAGCCTTTAATGAACACCCCTCATGTCACACTTGATGTGGGAGAAAGAGCTCTGCAGTGGATTTCAGAGGAGCCATGCTGAAGCCTGCTAATATTTGCATGTCAGAGGCCAAAGATGCCCATGCCATGGAGTAGGAACTGGACACACAAAGACCAGACGTGCTGGCTCCTGGCCAGTGTGACAGATGATGTCTAGTCACTAAAGCCCACCCAGCAACTTTATCTGGCCTCTGCTCTCCTCAAACTGAGCTGCCTTTGCTTCAGGTTTATCTTTCCCTGAAGTTTGTTTATGGGTATGCCTTCTGAGTTCTCCCAGCTGGTGGTAACTTGTGTGAAATTGTGGCAGTGCCAATACAGTGATCCCTTTACCTCAGAGCCTTAACTCGGCTGCACCAAATCCCAAACTTCATCTGCTCTCAAACTCCCTGCACTGGAAGTGCAAACAGCTTTAATGAGAACAATGTAGCATTGCCTGGGTAAAGAATGTGATTTACTTGCATATGCATGCCATGTGAACACCAGGGCCAGAGGGCACCACTTGAGTCCTCTTCTTCTTTCTTTCTCCTTTTTTTCCCCCCTTTCCCATTAGAGATGAGGTTTGCACTTCTGTTTGGGGATGAGAAGAATTCCTGGGTTGATGGGAGGCGGGAGCAAGATCTTTGGGAGCCAGGAGTCTGAAACTGAAAAAGCCAACAATCTAGGAGAGCTTTGTAGATGAGTTTAAAATTAGACTGACCCAGTGCTTTTATATTGCTGGAATTTAATTCCTCTGACCCAGAAGCTTTTGGTCTGACTGGGGGCAAGAGTTCCCAGGCTGTGATCTGTGGAAGTCAGTGCTATGTGGTGCTCTCATGTGGCCATGGGTCTGTATCAGAGATATATTTATGAAAAGTTGGAGAAATTCAGTCTGAGAAGCCAGGGAAGCCTCATATGTCTTTATGTCTGTGTAAGTGTGTGGCTTGTGTCCAGAGCCTGTTCACCCTCAAACTGGGATAATGCTGTATGTAAAAGTGTTCAGAGCTTTTCCTTTTTCAGGCATGATTGTAACTTTCTTTTCTGTTCCTGTTTGCAGGTTGTGCAGCTTGACATTAAAGAAACTGGTAGTCTTAAAGGAATTGGATAAGGAGCTTATTTCTGGAGTCATTGCTGTCAAAATGCAGGTAATTGCTGCTCAGTTCTAAGAATTGTGTTGTTTGACTAAAAATACTGGCAGATGCCCAAACTGAGCTTCCCCTCCACGTAAGGTCCATTGCGGCCACGAACTTCTTCCCAAGTCTATCCGGGCATTCTGGGTGTGTGCAGTCTCTTCTGACCCTTCCCCCTACGGCGTTTCGCTTTTGTAAGCAAAGAATATTGTTCACTGATGGCTCAGCATGAGATTATTTCCATGTAAAAACGCTCTTTACAGTTCATATCCTTCGCCTCTTCTTCCCGAACTGGCATTAAATCCAAGCCTGGTTCTCTATTTAACGTGCTCACTTTGGGGATGAACACTGTGGTAACTTAGTCCTGGTTTGGGGGGTCTGGAGTGTGGGCCTTCCTTTGCTGGTGGGCAGCTCTGCTGTTGAGTCCGTGGCCAGGTCCTTGTCGGTGGATTTGTAGGCTGCCTGTACATGTTAATTTGTTTCCCTGAAATACAGCTGTCATCCTAGGTAAATAACCCACTTTACAGCATACGTTTTTGCCATTTAATTAGGTGCCTTCATGTAGGTCACACTGCCTGGAGGCAGGCTGGGAAGGAAGGGGACTCGGTTCCACTGTGCGTCACAGCATCAGCTCGGCTCACGTGCTCCCACCACTGCAAATGCTAAAGTGCTTAACAAGTAAAAGCCTAGCAGTCCTATAAGTAGAAAAATACCATTAACCAGGCTGGAAAAGCTGCTGCTTTTCAAATAAAAAACTAGGCAAACCCCTGCAGAGATCCGGTTGTGTCAAAGCACACAAAATCTAGCTTGGAAGGTGAAATCTGTGGGACAAAAAGACGCAGCTGAGGATTTAATTGGTATCTCTCATCTCCATGAGTTATCCAGCTGGGGTAAAAATGTGCCCCTCTGTGTTGGAGGAGGTTCATACACCCATGCAGTGAGCAGAAAGGCAGGGAATTGCTTCACACACCTAGATTTGCAGGAACCTTGGAAGAAGCACCGCTGTGGGTTTCCAGGCTGACAGATACTGCTTGTCAAGGCTGAAAGCTTTCCATATGTTTGTGCTCCTAGATGGTTAATGTATCACTCTAAGGACCTGAGTCTTGTCAGTGAATGATCTACACCCAGAGCGTGTCAGATGTGGGTTGGAGAATTCAGTATCTTTTACTAGAGCAAAACCTTCTTTTCCTGTCCAGGTTACTGCTGACTGCTTGCACTTTTTGTGGGTGAAAGCTTGCCCCAGACCTGTAAGTCCAGTGGGAGTTTTAACACGTAGGGCTTTTGGGGTATGTGTTGTGACCTGCCTGGCTGCAGTAATTCAGATGCTGGAACCTGAGCAGTCCTCTCCACACAGGGCAGATCCCTGAGGAACTGGAAAGCAGAAGGACTTGCCCTGTTCAGGATGTGCATCTGCCAAGTCCTAGGCTGCAGCTCACATCACCAGGATATCCTTATTTTGCCCTTTCTATTTGACCTAGAGGTGACAGTGGCTGGAATGACCATTGTCCAGAGAGTGCCTCACCTTGCATGTCCCTTGTGGGGGACCGCACCCGTATTTCTTTGGGATGTGAAGTCAGTAGCAGTGCAGCTGTCAGACATAGGCAGGTTTGAAGCCCTGCTATTAAAAGTCCCTTTATAGCTTGCAGGTTATGATGCTGACAAGCTCTTTCAGGGATGCTTCATTTGCCAGCACTCAGGTTTCTGACATGGCTGTTGTTTGAACCTGGTGATACTGGATCATCAACTATATGATCTCTGTCAAATGACTCACTGCCTTTGTGTGGGGAATTGCACGAGAGGTGTCAGACACCAGAGTCCTTCCAGAGAGGAGGACTGAATTCAGACCTAATGAGAGCATCTTACCTGCATTTCCCGTGTCTCCTTGCAGCCTCCTGAACAGTGATGTTCAAAGAGTTGTCAACTGTATTTCCCAAGCCGTTGCTCTGTTTATCTGCTGCGGTCTTTTAAAAGCAACTATATTTGGTCTTTCATTAGATTTCAGGTTGCATAACCAGTAAAGCAAGATTGCTGCTATTAGGAGCTTTGCACAGATGGAGCAGCTGCCACTGTTGCCAGCGGCCAGGCTCGCTGTGCTTTGCTTTCACATGTGCTGCTTGGCCTGGGGACAGCCCTTCGGTCCCTCGCTCTGCTCTGCTGTCTGTCTTCTGATCTGCTGGAGCTCAGGCACCTCAGCTTTTCCAGAGGAGCTGGTGCTGTGCAGGAGCTGAGGCACCACTGCAGATCACAGCATTTGCTCTGGCTGCCTGAGCTATGCGTTTGGGGAAGAAGGGATGTAAATGAATCTCTGCTGCTGTCTCATCTCATGATGCTATTTGAGGCTGATATGAGCAGACCACATTTCCCTTTGGATGTAGCTTGGAGGTGTTTGCCCCCCCAGTCTGTCTCCGATTTCCCAGATGCTGCTTTTTTGAGAGCTACAGTTCTGTGCTTCTGGGAGATCAGCCTGTCTGGACAAAGCCAGATCTGCAGCCTCAGCAGAACATTGAGCCAGAGACCTCTGAAACTTGCCACTGTGTTTGAACAATGCAAAAGGGTTTGCTAGGCAGCAGTCTGTCATGTTTTCATGCTAGTTTTCCCTCAAACATTCCCTGAGATGAAACACTCACACAGTAAATAGCCCAGTAACTCTGTTAATATATGGCAGCCCACATACAGGGCTGATTTGGAGTTGCCCTGTGATACATTAGGTCTCCAGACTCCACTGAGATGCTTAGTGGATTTTTTTTTCTTTTATGTCCCCAGCTACTCGCAGTTGTTTAAACAGGTTAAAGTCTCCACTTTCCCCAGGGAGGGGTGTGTGCACAAACAGAGAAGCTCAGTCTGTTGTGGCTAACGCTGGGGATTTAAGCATAATGCTGCAGCATCCAGACCCTGGAGATGAGCCTTGTACCTACTGGCTGAAGTGAAAATATGAGACTTCAACTGGAGGGGTGGGGGTTGACTCACAGCTTTTCAATGCTGGTGTTTGGCAGAACAAAAGCTGCATTGTTGCAGTTAGGGACAGTAAATATGCCCAAATCTTTATTAGTCAAATATCTCCCTTTCATCTCATTAATATTTCACAGAAGTGCAAGGGCAGACCCATCCGTTCGCTTCTCTGTGGTAGTCCCTGACAACGTTTCCTGGTTTGCAGTAAATAGGACTGGAGTGGGATATGAGGGCTGGCTTCTGGGGAATTCACCTGATGGACTTTGTTTCCGTACAGGGCTCCAAGCGCATCCTGCGGTCTCACGAGATTGTATTGCCCCCGAGTGGACATGTGGAGACAGAGCTTGCACTGACCTTCTCCCTGCAGGTAGGGTGGGATGTCTGTGCTTGCAGTGAGCAGGGATATGTTGTGGGTCTGAGGTGAAGATCCTCAGCATGTTCTCATGTGCAACAACACAAACTTGTCTGAATTGCCTCTCAGCATTGAGAGCCTGAAGCTGGGTGCTAGTTCACAGTATTAGGGGACCTTCCTTGTTGTGCATCCTGGTTTTGGAGCCCAGGATAACCATGAAGGAAGAAGAACATGAAGACTGTCCTCTTCAAGTTATGGACAGGAATGTCCGTAACAGGAACTGGAGCAAAACAGGATGCCTCTTTTTTTGCCTTTTGTTGCTTGCTTTATGAGTAAGCACTGGAGGATGGCAGCCATGGGGGTGACATGGAGTGCCAGTCTGACAGAAGGCAGTAGTAGGAATGAATCAGGGGAACTTCTGATTTGGAGTTGCCAAAGGAGGCACCATTTGTGGAGGCAGGAGCAATGTGCTTATAGTTACTGCTGGCTCTGGAGTCACAGAAATAGCTGCGAATTGGAGCCACTGCATTTCATTAGTTCTTCTTTTCCTCAAAGTGTGCTGCTGCCCTGGTGCTACCTGCTGAGCAGGAAAGTTGGGTAAGTAGAGGCTAGCTTGCTGCAAGTGAGAGAAGATCCTCAATGCAGCAGAGCCAGACAGACACTCAGAAGCATTAATATGTGGAATCTCGATTATCTGTGTTCTGGGACTGTTGGTTAGATCTTGACTTCAGGAGTTTGGTCTGGTAAGGAGAGAGGTTGAAGTGATGATGTGAGTCTGGTTGTTACTCAGACCTGTGCAGACCTGAAGCAGGTAAGATTTTGTTGCAGACGGATGATAACCCTGCAGCTGCCCAAGCAGATAGACAGATGGTTCATGCTTCTGGTTCTGTCCTGATGCAGCTCAGACTGGGTTAACTGCATTCCCTCTTTTGTGAGCAGGAATAACTGAGCCACATGCCAGGAATACGCACACCTGGGTCCTGCGGCTGCAGGTTTCCCATGGTTGGGAGCAGAGCTGTAAGACGAGCCAGGTCTTCCTTTGCCAGTCCTGTGTCAGCAAGGAGCAAGTCTGCAGATCTTTTTGGAATTAATTGGGAATATGGTTGGAGTTTTTTCTGGGTCTCACAGCAATGCTGCAGCAGGATGCAGAGCATTGCCTTTAACTCTGTTTCCCCTGACGGGGCTGGGAATTGAGCCAGAATAGGAGAGAGTGATGTCCGTGACACTGAGGCTTAGAAGAGGTGAGTGAGCTTAAAGCAGAGATGTGCTGCTGATCTCTGACTGACTGCATGAAGGATTGGTTGTCTTGGATGCAGTAAGGCTTGGGAAGCATTCTAAGATAGCAGGATTTTTATGACAGCTTTTATTGTTACTTAATTGAACAACGGCTGGAAGCTGCTCCTAGCTAACAACCGCAGCTTAATTCAGATACAGTCTGAATTTAGTGCCTGGGATGTATTTGAGAGTGGTGATGGGATGGGCCACAGTAAAAGCATGTGGGTGTCACAGACGAAGAAGGTTTTGGTGTCTTGCTGCAACCACTATCTTCATATGGCACTGTCAGCTCTTCAGACCTTATGCCTTGCCTCTGACTTTTTGAGCCCCTCTTGCCTCTTCCCTCTAATAACTTTCTTCCATCCTTATTTAGGGATGTTGCACATTTGTAAAGTCACAGGCTCTGTGTGTTTTGAGGTTGTCTTTTAATTATGGGGAGTGCTGTTCCTCTCCTCTGCAGGGTTGCTTCCTTGGGCAATGAGCAGTAGATCCTGCCCTTACAGAGCATTCAGCTAATTAGTATTCTTCTTGTTTGTGTGGCCACTGCTCCCAGCACCCTGCGGAGCAGTCAGGCTTGCTCTGGACTGCAAATTATTATCTCAGGGGTTTCTGGTGGCATTTGGTATTTGTATTTGTCAAGTGTTTTGATGGGCAGGAAGTTATTTTCAAAATGTTCCAAGGAAGAAGAAAAAGTAGGTCTTGCCTGCGATGGAAGCGGCCTTCGCTTGGGAATGTCCTGTTTGTCCATTGTTTGCAGGGCAGCCTGTGCTCCAGGAGGCACCTCTGGGGCTCCAGTTCTGGGCAGCCTCCATTTAGCTGTTGGGGAAAGCGTCTCCTGAAGGCTACTCATCTCCCTGGAACCAGGCTTGGGTTCAACCCTTCCCAGACTGAACAGTTCCTCTGTGTTTTTGATGTGCTTGACTGAGCTGTTCGGGCAGAGCTGAAGTCTTCTGGGGGAGAACGAAGGACTGTCCACTGAGTGCGAGTTTGACGTAGGTGCTTCTAAAAGCCCTGGAATTAATCCCTGGGAGGAGTGGAAGTTACTTGTGGAGCAGGTAGCTCAGGAGATACTGTCAAGAAAAGTAATGAACTCTTCCGTTGTGTTTCCCACTGCAGTACCCTCACTTCTTGAAGAGGGAAGGCAACAAGCTTCAGATCATGCTGCAGCGGCGGAAGCGGTACAAGAACCGAACCATTTTAGGCTACAAGACTCTGGCTGTGGGGTCTATCAACATGGCTGAGGTGAGCTGCACTTGACATGGTCTCTGTTTACACAGGTGGATGTTTTCCCTTCTCTTCAAACTCCTTTTTATCATTTTCCTCATTGAGAAGTACCTGGCAGGATTTCATATAGCTGTCGTAATAGCTGTAATCAATATTCACGGAGCAATATTTTAAACGGGTTTTACTACTGAGTAATAATATTGAGCGTTTTCTGCATCGTATCTTGAGAGCTAAAGCTTTCACAAGGCTAACTTATGACCTTGTGAGGGTTTTGTTATTGTTTTGTGGCTCTTTTTAGAGTTAGGGGTCCAGAACAAGACAGATAGGGTCACTTGGGCAAGCCTTTGAACCCTGAGAAATGGTAAAGTTAAAGCAAAGTTTGCTGTGCTTCTCAGTGCAACAGTATGACAGCTCAGCATTAAGTAATTCCTCCCATTTTGCTTAAAACACCTTTTGCCATTCTTATTTCATGGCTGTTGGTAATGTAGGTGGAGTTCTATTCATGAGAAGTAAATGATAAAGTTAATTCTGGAATCAAGTAGGGATAAATTATTCACTAAGGCTTTCTGAATGGTGTAGCTCCATGCTTCATTATTTCATGCCCTGCTTAATGTCTGCTGTTTCTGTTTCTGAGTATTTAGGGGTGGGCTTAGCAGTAGCAAGTCCAGCTTAATCCCAGTATTTTTCATCAGACTGCATTTTGTCAACAAATCATTTTTCTCCAAAATAAGCTGGCGTTATGTTGTGGTGAGTTACTACTACACTAAATAATTCATTATAAAGACTACTTCTCTTCTGTGAGTTCAGCTTCCCTCAGTCTTGCAGTAAATGGTGAATTCCTCATTTGAATTGGTCAAGTTTGTGGTGTCGCAGCTAACATTTTTCCTGTACTGTGTTTGATTTGTTGAAGAACTAGAAATTAAATACTGCTGTAAGGCAGAAAACATGTGGGCCCATTAATTAGAACCATCAGGGAACTTTTAAGTGTTGGGCATTTGCTGCTGCATGTGGTTTCTCTTATGTCTGTTTGTAATGTCAGCTGACTGAGATCAGAAGGTCAAAAATGTTCAAAGGTGCACCATGTTAGGAAATAGTTGCTCTCCAGCTCATCTGGAATATTTATGAAATTGAAGTCTTAAGGAAAACAAATTTTACAAGCTCCCCCCCTTCCCTTTGCAGTGTATAGGATAATGACCCCTGAACTGCACTGACTCATTCCTTAAAAAAAAGAAAAAAAAGTTCTTGTATCTGTTGAAACAAAGCAGTGAATTGGAGTTGAGGGTCTGAGCAGAGTTTCAGGGCAAGGGCATGTGTTCCTCATCAGCTCAGGTCTGTTTAGAGCCACGTGAGGAGCTGACAAAGCAACCTGGTGTATGTTGGAAAGCTGAGGTGCAAGAGAGGGGATATGCTTGCTGACTCTGGTGGGGCAAGAGCAGAACAGAAGACTTAGATTCTGGGGAGAGCCCTGTGAGTGGCAAAGGAAGGAGGAACCTGCACTGAAATGTCCCTTTGCCTCCACCACTGTCTTGTTTTTCGTGACCTACTGCTTCATTATACTGGGGTAGCCAGTTCCTCTGAGATTCATGGACTGACTCTTTGGAGCAGGGATTTTTGCTTTAGGAAGCACTTTACGTCTGTATCTCACAAAGAATTTTTGCCTTTACTGGCTCTTCTGCAGGGCTTTAAGACAAAATTATGTTCTTTAATTAGGTGTTCATAAGGTGGGTGACTTGATAATTCAAATCAGTACTGTGCCATGGAAGCCTATACATGGTAATGAGGTAGTCAAGTACTGTGCTTCAGGGATGAGCTAATCACCTATTAAACTCAGAATGTTTTTCTTTCCTTCCATCACTTTCATTAGTAGTCAGATATAATCTCAACTAACACTGTGTATTGCCTGCAAGTGGCTCCTGCAGTTGCAGGGTCTTGACTGCTTCTGTTCTTGGAAATGTGGAGTAACTGTTAACATAAATAACTCTTGTAGTATGCAAATGATGCAAGTGTAAATACATTTAAATGCAGATTTGTACAGCTTAATTTCTGTCCCAGGTCATGCAGCACCCAACAGAAGGTGGCCAGGTTCTGAGCCTTTTCAGCAACATCAAAGAGGCTGCAGTGAAGGTAGCAGAAATCTGGATCTTCTCCTTGTCCAGTCAGCCAATCGACCATGAAGACAGCACCATGCAGGCCAGCCAGAAAATCAAGTCTACAGGTAAGAGTTACAACCACGTGCTCTGAGGACCAGAACCAGCTGCAGTTAAACCCCACCTGAGTTTAGATGCTTCCTGGGACAAATGAGAGCTGGTTTGCACAAGTTGCTGTGTCTGTAACTGATTAATGCAAAGAGAACCCACTTTGCAAATGAGTTGCTGTGTAAGCAGGGAGTGTGACAGGAGTGGGGGATCAAGTTGTCAAAGCTTCTCCTGCATACCAGACCAGGCCTGAGCCATCCAGCAAGGGTTAGCTGTGTTCTCACCAACCCTCTACCAGCATTACTGGTGGGCATGTTGAGAACCTGTAGCTTCTCACCTGGATAAGTGTTGTATTCAGGAGATTTACATTTAAGCTCCTCTTCCATCTTTTTTTTCTTTTGAGTATCCTACAATAAATCTCATTAACTTTAGATGAGACCTGCAAACCTGCAACATGTTTTGCTATGGATGATGGCCTGGTTTAATGAGTGTAAATCCATGGTGTTGTGCACTATATAGGGAAGACACTGGGTTTCTATTTGTGATCATCTTTTTACATGGCACCAGCTCCTGCTCACTGCTGCAAGAGTGAACTGTTGAAGGTAGTTCACACAGGTGCTTGTGTGTTGTTGCCTGAGTCCAGGCAGCTCACCTGAAATGTCATTTCAGTAAAGGATTTAGACTCTCCTGTCATGTTTTACTTGCTCCTTTAAGCCAGTTATGCCCATGTTAGGAGGAAAAAGTAATTTCACCTGTGGAGAAACCTCTTTACTTGCTGCTGTCTACTAGGTGATCCTTTCCAGGATAAATTGAGGTGATGTGTCAAGGAACTTTATCTATGTGCTGGTCATTCCTTCTTGCTGGAAGTGTTTCTCCTTGTTCCTTACCTCCAGACAGTTCCCATCTCACTGGTTCTAGCACAGATAGATGCCTGCTAGTTTATCTTCTCCTTGTGTGCCTCCTTTCTTGATTTGTGACTCGGCCTTTTCTGCTCCTGAGATGAGACCATGTCCTCACCTTAAAGGAGTTTCACAGGATCTCTCCCCTCTTTCCTTCCCTTTCAGACAACTATTCTGAGGAAGAGTACGAGAGCTTCTCTTCTGAGCAGGAGGCCAGTGATGATGCCGTACAGGGCCAGGTACTGTTTAGGGCATGGTTTCTCTCTGAGCTCAGTAGAGCAGGTACACTCTCAGCTCATGCTTGAAACTAAAAGTCTTTTTCTTTAGCTAAGCCATGCCAGTGTGAGACTGTAACCAAGTGGTAGAGAAAGCCTGCACAACAGCCCATTTCTTCTACTGTGCTGTGATTTATCTGTTCACATGTTTGGACATGATCTCCCTTAAAAAACATTAGTATCCTTGTGTTTCTCTGCTTAATGGTCAAGGCATGACTCTATTGCTTCTATAGTAGTGATTGGATTCAAAGAACCCAACTGGATCCCCAGCTGTAGTTAAAGGGCCAGTGGGGTCTGAGGCAGTCTTTAGTCTTTAATACCTTTTGCAAAATAGGTCCTTACAAAGAACTCACTGGTTAGATGCGAGATGCTTTTGAGTTTGGGTCTTATTTGCCTTCAGACTCTGGCATCACCTGCCTTCCACCTCTTGGAGGGTACCGAGAGAGGAACCCACCAAAATGTGGGGTTATGACTGTCCTTGTTCCTTGAATGTAAAACTAGGGCTGTTTTGCTTCTCCAGGCTGTTATTCCTGTGTCTGCAGACCTGGAATAACTGCCTTTTCCCTCTACCATCGTAATTGCAATTAAGGCAAATGCTGAATGCCTGGAAGACAGGGCAGCGGGTTCATCTTCATAGAAGGAGCATTTTTAGTGCTTAAATGCTCATGTGTCACAGAATCATAAGGTAACACAGGAATCCTCTTTCTGTTCAGGATTTGGATGATGATGAGTACGAGCTGGGGAAGCCCAAGAAGCAGCGGAGATCGATAGTAAGAACGACGTCCATAACCAGGGTCGGTGGAAATTAGTTATACTAACACTGACGGGGTTTGGCCAGGATGTGCAGTGCATGTGGCTTGTGGGAGCAGCAGTACTAGACATGCTGCCCCGCAGAGAGCTTGGGGGCACTGCCACAGCATGCAAAGAACTAGGAAAAGCAGCCGGTTCAGGGAGTGGGACCATCCAAGGTTGTGTGCATGTGCTGTCTTCAGTGTCCTTTGGCTGCAAAGTTAAGGAGCTCTAAAAATCATGCAACTGTATGAACTTCCAGTCCCATTGAAGAAGCCAGTGCAGAATCCATGCTCATGTAAGTCCCGAAAGTAGCTGTAACTGAAGGAAAGCTCTTCTATTTGGTCTCTGCATGGGAGAGGCCAGCAGGAGGGTTTCAAAATGAAGCAGCTTAGTCGAGGCCTGGAGTTTGACAGATGAACATGAGGTGTTGCATGTGGTGCTGAGGCAAAACAAATAGCTGGATATTACATATATAGAAGCTTTGGAAGGATGCATGCAGCTATCCACCCGCTCACACAAGCACAAGTGTGCCTGCAATGCTGCACTTGTATGGAGCAGGGACTTGTGCTTGACCAGTCCATAATGCAGCTTTCTGCTTGCACCAGTGTTTGTGCATGTCAATGACGACAATAACTCGGAATCAGCGAGATGCATTAGGTTTGGTTTTGGTCTTAGGAGTAAGTTTGGAGATCATTCTACCACCTCTAAGGCTATTTCTGAAATGCATGGTTTTATAAAGTTTGAAATAAACCCTGTTTTGACCTGAATCTGACACTAAAAAGATCCTTTCTGTGAGACCAGGAATGTGCTAGTTCATATCCTTGGTGTCTTTAGTATTGTTTTGAAGTGTCAGTGACCAGCCAGGACAAAATTCACCACTTGGTTATTAAGGAACCAACTCATAATAGGAAAATCTTTCTGGCCCTGATCTGTGAACTGATACTGAATCTCCAGTGTGTGCAACTGGTGCAAACCCGGGTTTGGTGCTGCTACATAAGTTAATATCAGTGCAGCTCCAAACCAAATCTCCTTGCTGTCAAACCATTCAGGCCAGCAAACAGCTCTTGTCATGTCACCTTAGCTACTGCATTTTGTGTCCTCCCTCCACAGACTGACCAGCTGGTCCAAGGTGATCTGTGTGATGGATGATTTTGCTTGATGTCCTGAGCCAGAGGAAAACCCTCACTATCATGAGAGCATCTTGGCCTCACAGGTGCATTGGAGACAGAAATAGGGCAGTCTTTGAAGAGTCTGGGGCATTTATTCCACCTAAACTTCAGCTGTCTAGGAGGTGGCTGCAGCTCACAGGATGTGAGTTCAGAGGTAAAGGGCTGGTTTTGAAGACATGGGTTTGTATGAACTGTCTGAGGCCAGAGTGGGAGCGAGCGGTTGGACTTGCAAGAAGAGCTCACGTGAGATACAGGAGAGCCATCAAGTGAACAACTGTCTTCACTTAAATGTGTCCTGTTATCAGCCACTTTCTACTCCCTTTCCTTCTGACACAGGGATGCCACTTCAAAAGCTCTGTACCAGCACTCAAACCTAGGCCCTTCTCGTCTTCCTTTTATTCACACTGTGCATATTGGGTTGGTCAGTGACAGGCAGAGAAGGGCTGGGCAGCTCATGGCAAACCTCAGCTGTTTCATCCTGCAAAAGAGGGGCTCTTAGGGGCAAGCAAACACAAAAGAAATGCAGTGGTTTGGCTTGTGTTGTTTTAGACTTGGTCCTTGCTGTGTCTAGGATCTGGGTCTGTGACTTGGGAAGCATTTTTGTGATAGGGACAAGAGCTAAGGACAAGCCCCACAGCTTTTCTCCAGTGCTACTGCTCAAATAAATGAACCTGCCAGGATGAACTGCGAGCTCCTGCAAAAAAACCAAACCCATGCTTTGGTGGTAAAAGACATAGTTGTTCTTTGGGTCAGTGGGTGGATGCCTGTGTTGGCTCACCCTTGTTAAGAATCAGAAAAGCTGGCAGTCAAATGTTTGCCAAAAATCTGTCAAACAGGTATAGGAGGTGATCTGGCAGATAAAATTATTTGTTATGCCCTGTGTGTCCAACCAAGAGCAATGTGCCATCTGTCAGGGCCAGAAGACTTATTGCTTGGTGGAGTGGGACCTAGCTTGTGGTAATGCAGGAATGAAATTATCATAGGTGTGGAAAATCTGATTTCAACATAAGAAGAGCAGAGATGTAGTCTGTGGTGCCAGGAGTTGTTTGATTTGAAGCAGCAGCTAGAGCACCAGTGTGAGATGTGTCTGGGCTTCTTGCAGACTGAGAGAAAACAATTCACTTAATGCTTTACTTATGTAAAAGTGTCTTTAACTTACAGCAACAAAACTTCAAACAGAAGGTTGTGGCATTGCTGAAGAGGTTTAAAGTGTCTGATGAGGTAAGTAATTAATTCTGTAAGCCTTCCTGTCTTCTGTGTTGCTCTCTGCTTGGAACACCTTGCTTTAGTCTTCAGAAACACTCTCCCATTTTCCCATCGTTTCCCTCATTTTGTTTTTAAGTCTGCAGTGGATGTGACCTTTCCTTACACTCTGGCCTTGCATGGAGGCTTGAGGGCCAGCTTCTAAATGTCAGCAAACATTTTCTAGATCAAGTTTTATCAAAAGCAGATTTTGGCAGCCATCTGTGTACCCATTAGTTTTGCAGACTGCTTTGAAGTTATCTTTGACCCTTTCAAAGGCAAATAGTCTATGGTGTATATTGCTTGTGAAGTTGAATCCCAACCTATTTGATCATCTCACTAGAACAGCCAGGCAAGACGTGTAAAACTTGGACAGGGAGCACAGATCCACAGGAGTCAACTGTTTGGTCATAGCTGAAAATGATGAAACAGATCCAGAACCCCTGGGTAACATTAAGTGTCTAATATAAAAACAGTTAACAACTCAGTTGGCTGTTTGGCCGTGTGTTGATTTTTGTGGCTTGCGGGAAAGAGTGAGTAACTCCTCGTGCTTCCTTATGCTTTCAAACAGTCCTATTAGCTTTGCTGTTCTTCCCAAGTTAGCTCAGCAGAGTCAGCACCCATAGCTAAGGGCTCAGACAGCTGAGCTGCTGCTTTTCCAGAGCTGCCACTCAAAAAGCAAGCTCTGAACTGAGCACAGCTCCCTGCTTACTCTGGAGGATGTGCAAAGCAACCAGGAAAGTTTAATGTGTCTATTTTGCCTTGTGTGTGGGTGGCAGTGGATCCTCGTCCAGGTTTCAGGCGCCTCCTGTGGACATTTTTGGGTATCAAATGAGAAGCTGTCAGGGCAGCTTTTTCAGTAAAACCCACGACAGGTTACGCTGTTGGGAATACTGGAATTTTGTGGTGGTTCTAAGAAAACTGGGACTCCCTTGCGGCCTTTTTAAAGCATTGTTTATAGAATGGGGTTGAATAATGGACATAACCTGTAGTTAAATGGCTTGCTCATGGATGCCTAGTCCAATATGAAACTCCTGCTTAACCAGACACTGACAAGCTTGATCCAAAACATGCATTTCTCATACACTTAATGTTCCTGTCAGATATAGTATCCAAGCACCAGGAATAGAAGCTTACTCCCAGGATCATGTACTGCAGTCCTGGGGAGAGTACAGGTGATGTGGGATCGATCTGTCTCCTGACAGGCTCAGTGATACCTGTTTCTGCCCTGTGTGTAGGTTCTGGATTCAGAGCAGGACCCAGCAGAGCACGTTCCAGAGGTGGAGGAGGATTTGGACCTTCTGTATGACACGCTGGATATAGAGAACCCCAGTGACAGCGGGCCAGAAATGGAGGATGATGACAGTGTCTTGAGCACTCCAAAGCCAAAGTTAAAGTAAGTGTGAGGCAGCTTATGCTGGGCCAGAGAGAGATGGAAAGGCCGGTAATGCCCTGTGTGGAAAGACAGTCTTTGCAAGGATTAAGGAAACAGAACTGCAGAAAACAAATTAATTCCTCAGGGCCCAAGGGCACTGACTGCAGCACACGTAGATACACTCAAGCCTGTTCTGAAAGGGCTTTTGTGGGCACTGATGTGTGGGTCAATCACAGCACTGTAGAACTGAGCTGGGGATTGCTGGCTCGGGGTCTTGAGCAGATACAGAACCCTGAGCTAACAGGGTTCTGTGTCACATCCCTGCCCTGTGTCACATCTCTACCCAATAAAGGCTGGAGACATGAGACTGTTTCAGCTGCACTCATGCTTCTGAGTGGTGTGTGGTTGCGTGCTCAGGCCTTCACTGTTGTGATGGCTCTGAAACAAAGCACTGGGGTGCTGACCGCTGCAGTTGGTCAGTACAGCACCTGCTAAATGCTGGCTAATTATCAGGTGTACTAATATACTCGTTAATGTAGAATAACCTAGTTGGTCTGAGAATAAATTCTGAGTCTAGAGTGACTTGTTCCCTATCAGTGAGCCAGAAGATATCAAGAATAGATTGGAGCAGCAGTGATAAGTGATGAGGTTGGTGGCTTACAAAGGTTTGGAGCTTGACCCAAGATATCACCAGTTGGTAGGCCCTACCTTGAAGGGATTTGAAAGTAGATGTGTTGTGGTAAGCAACAGTTTGAAACAAGCAAAAATGTTTTACTGTACACACAGAGTTCATATCCTGTTCCGTGGAGCCAAGGAGCTAACTGTTCTGGGATATGTGATTACTGGAATAATGCTGGAATTGGAACTTTACTGTGTCTGGTCCTGGAGAGACACTTTGTGGTTTGCTGCATCCAGTTCTTGAGTTCATATCTTGAAGAGGATGTGATAAATGCTGATGGCTTGTAGGCAGATTTTTCCTGCAACAAAAAAAATCAGTTCCTTAAATTGTAATTGAGTCTTGTAGCCTGGTGTGATGAGCTGCCTCTTATGTGGAAGCACAATCTGATTGTGTGTGCGCTACCTTATCTTATTGAGCAAATGTGTAATTGGAGCCTAGTGCTGAGAGCCAAATCCAGATGCAAGCTGGAAATAAAATGCATATTAGCACCAAGAGTCACTTACCCACAGGAGCAGAGTATCGGGGGGATGGGAGGGGAGGCAGTAATTCTAGTTGCCGTATTTCAGTCAGGAACTAGACCCTGTCTGGAATGTTGTGTAGTTCAGTCAGCATTTGCTACATGAAACGAGATGGTCACTGTGAAACTTTGCACCTGGTGCTTGGGGTAGTAAGGACACAAATGCTTGTGTGGGGTCCATGTGCATTCTGTTCTGCTGTGGGAATATGCTGGACCACATGCCCACCCTGGATCTTATGGAAGCAAAAGCTGCTGTTTACTGTGTAGTGTGAGAGTGTGCAGGCATTCCTAATAAGAGCTTTATAAAAATAGTCTCCTGTGTGACGGTCAGACAGTGTCAGGGCTAGACAGGGATCCCTGGACTTTTTGGCTTCTCTTACTGTCCTGGAGATCTTCCTCTCCTTTCAAAAGTAGCCTATAAATTTTACTGGAACCACTGGGGAGCAGTAAGACCCCCTGGGAACAGTCATGTTGCTTTGCTGTGAATGTGGTGGACTTCTGTGGTGTTTTTGATAATAAGGAAGTAACTTTGTTTTTCTTATTCAGACCTTATTTTGAAGGACTGTCACACTCCAGCTCTCAGACAGAAATTGGTAGCATCCATAGCATCAGGAGCCAGAGAGAGCCATCGAGTCCTGTAAGTCATGTTTCAAGAGTTACCTGTCTGCAGGTAGTATAGCAGACCTGCACTAGCTCTATTTGCATGTGTAAATTAAAGCACCCTCTCTGACCTCCTCCAAAGACTTGGATGCAGAGATATGAATTTTCTGCTAAGAAAACACATTTGGTTGTTGGTTTTCTTTGGGGGGCTGGGGTGGTTTTTTGTTTGTTTGTTTTGGGGTTTTTGTTTTGTTTTCTTTTTTAATGCAAACACTGTATTAACTTAAGGATACATCTTCAGGTTATGTATTAAACACTTGCTAATGGTATGATTAATTTCAGATTCTCAGGTGAAGTGACTGCCAGGGTGAGAGGTGTTGCCTGGGAGTTTTAGGGACTTTTTGGCACTGTTTGGAGGGGGCTTTACCTTACTGATTTTGGCATATTTTTCATGGTGGCTGAGAGTGAACACTGAGAGGCAACTCAGCCCTTTTTCCATCCCCTTGTGGATGGGCATATTGGCTGCATAAAGGGTCAGTCCCATTCCAGGGCACTTCCTTGCCTCTACTGTGTATTGTGCACGAGCTCAGCCACATCCCACACTAATATGTTTGGTCCTGGTGTGGCCAGGAAGCGCTCCTGTTCATCCTGCAGAGCTGTGCCACGTTTAAGCGGAGAAGTCTGTTTCTTGAGTAGCCTGATCCAGAGAGTGTGGCTGGAAACTGTGCTCGTGCTAAACCTCCTGATGATTTTTCTCCTCTCAAGCAGGTAGAAGTGCCTGAAAAGACAAAGAGTCTTGGAACCAAACATACAGGAGACAGTATTTCTGACACTGTCCCTTATGTAAGTTGAAAATGCATTTGCTGATGTTCCTCCTGTCAGTTTGGGTGTCAACTGGGAGCTGAATTCTCTGCCATGTTTCTGTCTGTCCGTGTAGTTGCACATACAACACAACTTCCATGGGTAACATCAGCTGCAGTGAAGATAATGCTGAACTCTCCTCCTGCCCTTGGTTGTTGGAGGTTCTTGTCTTTCAGCTTTTTGCAACTGAAATGCTCTACATGGCCTTCTGTTCAAACAGCCTTTCTCTTGGTTTGAGGAAGGCTGACCCAAAGTATGCCACTGAGCATGTGTACCATCCTGAAAAGGGTTCTCAGGCCTGTTCCATGCTATTGGACAGAAGTATTACTTCAAGCTGAATTGGCTGAAATCAAGCTGTTCCTGGGCTAAAAATCCCAAAGCTCAAGTTGCTCTGCTGGGGACATGAAGTGTGTAACATTTATCCCATGTCTTTCTCTCTCTGCTAGTTCATTTGGGTAAGCTGAATTAATCTGCATTGCATGAGGAGTCATGTCCCTGGCTTTTTAACTGAGAGAGGGCCTGTTCCAAATAGCATCCTACCTTTTCTACCTCAAGCTCCCTTGTGAGGCAGAGCTGGGAACTGGTAACCCCAGATAGCCAGTATTGGCTTCTCCCTTTTGGCAGTGAGTAGCATGTCTGGAGGAGGCAGGCTCAATGTGCCCCAGCCAGAGCAAAGCTCTCCAGGTGAGAAGAGGGAGAGGGTTTGTTCCTGGTAACTCTGTTCCCTGTGTTTTTGCAGGAGTCTAACCAGCAAGCTGAGGTCCAGGAGGCTGAACTCCCCACACCAGATGTGTTTGTTGAGAAGCTCCCACCGAGCGGGAAGATCACTAAGACAGAGTCCCTCATCATCCCATCCACCAGGTAGAGAGAGGGGGGACAGCATTGTGCCTGCTGCAGGGCTGCTCAGGAGGTCAGGGACAGCATGCTAGGGTTTGGTCATGATACCACTGACTGCAAGGACACCCTCCTTGTGTTTGGGCATTTGAATGATGGGTCTTGAGCACTTGGTAAAGGAATGCTCAGAGCCCTGAAGGGCAGCACTGCTCTGAGGCTGCTTTGGTCTCCTGTGTTGTACCTGCTCCACGACCAAGGAAGTTTTATAGAACTCTGGAGCTGCTTGCTTAAAGATACTGTTGCTAAGTCAATATCTGATGCTGATTTTGGCCTGAAAGGTGGTTGGTTGTCAAGTCTAACCTTTAAACCTTCCCAAATAGGATAGTGAATGTGGGCGTCAGCAATCCAACAGTATAGTTTCTCTAGTTTGCAAGTAAATAGTTGTTCTTTTGGAGGTATTTCTGTGCTGCTTGGGAGTGCATGACTGCAGTTTGCACGGCTGGATCCTATTATGCTGGTGTAGCAATAGCAGAGCAGTGGTGTGGGTCTAAGCATGGGCTGTGGAAGTCTTCCTGGGACTTCTGGGAATGTACTTTGTAGCTGAACCTTGCACTCTGCACTATCAGAAACAGAATTAACAGGTCTCAAGCTAACTCAGATCTACGTCCACAATTCCCCAGTGCCTTCACTCGCATTATTGAGATTGCCAGACTGGGAGATCTGGGATTTGGGAGGTGAGTCTCACTCAGATACGAGCCAGCTCTGGAATGTAAGCACATCTCTCTAGCAGGTCTGAAGGGAAACAGACGGGACGTCGGGGAAGAAGCACATCTCTGAAGGAGAGGCAGCCAGTGAGGCCACAGAATGAGAGAGCCAACAGCCTGGACAATGAGCGCTCTCCAGACACCCGGCACCACTTACAGGTGTGAAAAAGATTACTATGTCTCCAGCCACCCATAGTTTTTCCTCTTTTCCAACTATCTCCCATGGTCCTTTTCATTCTGGTCCGAGTTCTGTCCCTGCTGGAAAGGAACTGGGCCCTGTAGCTTCAGGAAGGAGGGAATTTATGTCTTGGCTAAAACTGCATCTTCCATCTAATCTGCTGGGATTTGCCAGCTTGTTGTTTTGTCAGCCAGCCATAAACTGAAAACACTGTTAGAATTGTTAGAATGAGAAATGAATAGGAATGTGTTGAGGAATTACTCCTTTGAACTAAGGCAGATTGCTAGGGATTGCAGTAGGGGACTGACTTGTGCACAGCATATGTACCATGCTTTTATTAGCTGCAGGACTCACTTATTTCCCTCTTTGGAGGAGACTGGCTTTTATGAATCCTAAATTGTTGGGCTACTACCAGTTGGTATAAAGTGATGTGAGTTAAAGTGCGTGGCAGAAGAAGTAATGGCCAACCAGTCCAAGGTGGCTAATACTGAAGAAGCTGCTGAGTGTCAGTCCCAGCAACCCATGTGCTGCTAGTGTGCCTTTCCTGATGGGATCACTGGCCAGCCATGCACAGCCACCTCTCATGAATTGCAAGAGCTGGAGGTGGTGGCTTGATGGTTACAGGTGACATCTTCTACTGTTCTCTTCTCCATGTCTTTATTTCCAGATCCCCAGGAAAACAGTGTATGACCAACTAAATCACATCCTGGTTTCCGACGACCAGCTGCCAGAAAACATTATTCTTGTCAATACATCTGACTGGCAAGGCCAGGTAAAGGCAGGAGACGTTACCTGAAGCACAGTTCTCCTGCGCTGTTCCTCCTCAGGAATGGACAGGCCTTGAGCTCTACCACTAACCAAGTAGGTTCTGTTGCTTGGTTGGAAGAGCAGTGGTGGTGCGTGGGGGCTGGCAACCTACTGAGTGCTTAGTGCCTACAGGTTGGATTTCATTTGACCTGGAGATGCTGTGGGTCTTGTAAAGCTTTTGCCACCTAAATGTTTCCACAGAGGTGTTTTCTCTTCTGTAAAATGCCATTCCTTCTGGTTAGCAGCACACTGGGAATGTCTTGACCCTTGCACTTAAAAACCTGCTTCTAAACTGTGGTAGAATGGAACAAAAGCAGCAGAGAGGTCTGACCTGTGGTTTAGGCTGAGATTTCTAAATGCAGGTGGTGAACACAGGAGAAAATATTTTGGGTCAGCTTTGTAGCTGTGCACATGCACTCATGATTCCTGACTGCAGGTCTGTCACCCCATCCTTTCTGAGTGATAGTTTTGTTAAGGAGAACCCTGAGCAGTATGTTTTTTCGCTGGCAACAAGGGGTGGTCTGTTACAGGTTTGGAACACGTTTTTCTCCTTTTGGAACCTTATTCTGAGAAAGCAATAAATTATGTATGGCAGAGGACCAATAAACATGTGCTGGGTGACTGTCGCCTGGAGAACTTGTGCCAGGCATTTGGAGTTACGCTGTCTGGAGTTACACTGGTTTGACTTTCTGCTTCTGGAAGAACTAGGGTCTCAATGTGTGAGAGAGCAAAAATACCAGCTGAACTACTCGTTCCAGCTTCTCTATACTTGGAAGACAGAGAAATGCCTTCTAGAGATGAACAGAAAGCATTGTAGGTCATCTTCCAGTGGTTCTGGCAGCTTGTGCCTTCAGTGTCAGATGACATGCACTTAGCAATGGCTGGGTTGTATAGATTAGCAGTACAGAATTTGAAAGTGTGAGATAATTGCTAAGTGCCATAATTATGTCCATGTGTACCCAAGCTGTGTGTTGTTCCCCATTAGCTGCATGGAGGGAAAACAGTCCCTCATGAGGAACATGTATGTTGATAGCACCCATCCCTTTTTTCAGTGCTCAAGGGTGGGCAGAACATTGCATTTGTTTAAGACCTTTTGAAATCTGGGAGAGATGCAACTGCAGTTCTAGAAGCAGGTGGGTAGACAGTATCTGCTCTTACCCAGTGCTTTCTGCTAGGTGAACAACCTTCTGCTGGAGCCCTGCCCTCTGTGGCCATAAAAACTGTGCTGTTCTGGAGTTGTTGTTGCTATGTTTGGGATATGGTCTTGTTGTCTGTCAAGAAGGTGTTTCCATTTTTCTAGAGGAAAAGCTTTCCTTTGGCTGCTGCACAAGGACAAGGTGTTTGAGAAACAGCTATATCACTTACAAATCAGACACAGGGAGAGAACCCAAGTTTGAGTATGAGAAGACCTGGGAGGTTGGGGGAGGCACATTTTCTTCTTGTGACAAACTGTACCAAAAAAGGACTATAAAATATTCTGTTCTCTCCTCAGTACCTGTCAGATGTCTTGCAAAAGCATACATTGCCAGTGGTCTGTACATGCTCCTCCGCTGATATTCAGGCAGCTTTCAGCACTATTGTCTCCAGGATACAGAGATAGTAAGTTCTCACCTTGCTTGTGTTGTTTGTCTCAGCTCTAAAAACCTCTCAGTTCCTGTGCCCCAGGGCCCAGGGAGTTTATTTCTCAACTACTGGATGAAGCTTCTGCCTTTCAGTACTTCTTCCAACCTGCTCTCCTGAGGTCAGAATTGTGTGGCTCTTTAGCCCTCACCAACCCTGCAAAGTTGTTCATGTTCTGCCATGTGTGGGGGGGATGCAAGTCACCCGCACCAGTGGTTATAAAAGGTTGTGCTTTGGAGGCTGCCTCATAGCTCAGATACATGCAGCAGCAAAGCATGAAAAACTAATAAGTGTTTTTTAAATAGTTCTTGCTTCCTCCTCCAAGTAATTCCCAGATTAATTCCTCAAGGCACTCCTTAGTTATCTGCTGATAGCTGTGGGTACCTGAGAGTGTTCTCTGACCCAGCAGTTAGTAGCAGTAGGGTACATCCTAACCTAGATAGTTGAGTACAGCCCTTTAGATGATCCAAATGTGTGAAAGAAGAAGCAAGGAGACCAATTAAGAAACTACTGAAGAAATGTTGTATTTTATTAATAATGTTTTAAGCTGCTGATTATCATTGTGATACTGCTGTTTGTATTGAAGGAACTCTCTTCTGCCATAATTGTTATTAACCTTTTTTTTGTTGTTGTTGCTTGGTCTGAAATACGTGGTTGAAACACGATTACAAATATGTTTCCTCTTTTTCTGTCTAGCTGTAACTGCAATTCACAGCCTCCAAACCCAATTAAAATTGCAGTGGCAGGAGCCCAGAATTACCTCAGTGCTGTATTGAGGCTCTTTGTAGAGCAACTGTCTCACAAAACTCCCGACTGGCTCGGCTACATGAGATTTTTGATCATCCCTCTAGGTAAATAAGGAACAGTTTTTCTTCATAGAAAGATGAATGGGTTAAACGTGCTGTGTTTGCTCAGTAGAAGGCTTTCTGGAAGCTTTGGCTATAGGTATATGTCTGTTAAATGAGGCAAACTGTTGTATTATTGTGTAATGCTGGTGTTGCTGCTCTTGCGTGAGTGAATTTCATCTTTACGTTCTTGATGCCAAAGTCTGCTTTGTAAACCTTTTATTGGAAGCAAGGGGTTAAGTACTTCTTCCCCATACAGAGAGATTCTTATATACCTTTTTATCATGGTACAATAAATGCACAGAATAATGTCCTAGAAGCTCTTTCCCTGGCCAAAATGATAAATTCATTGGGCACCGTGTTTCCCAAAGCAATAACTGTTCTGGCCTCCATGAGCCTGACTCTAAAAATGTTAGTGGAGAAGGGGTTGAAAATTTTTCAAAGGCTCTGAAACTGCTGAGAATTTTAATTATTCAGATTACATGCATCTTTTGACCTTTCCTTTACGTGCTGTTCTCCTCAGGTTTTTCCCTCAGTTTTTCTGCACCTTATCTCTGCCTTTTAAGCAGCTTAACAAGCCTGCCTGGCTGGAAAGTTACCCAGCTTCAGTCGCCTGTGTTGAAGGAAATGGAATGGACTGATAACAACATTGAGGGTCTTGTTCTAGTCAGAAACGTAAGGAATGTTGTAGTGGCAATGCCTGGGAAGCCAGACAGTCACTGATGCTGTGGGCAGGGACCTCTGGGCAGTGCTGGTGTGGTAAGGGTGTGAGGCCAGGAGCTGGTCTAGTCCGAGTCTTGGCTTGTGTGAACAGAGCACTTGGGTGATGTAGGCAGCAGAAAACTTTGAAAAGCCTTTTTCTCGATGTTTTCCAATCTTCTAGGATTGGGACCAGGTGATGGCAACTCCTGTGGGAATCAGAAGCTGGTGGCCCAGCACCATGAACAGTGGAGTTAGGCTGCTGATTCAGTGGTAGGATTTGCAGAAGTCAAATGAAAAACGCAGAAGAGAGTTGGATCCTTCTGTAAGGAAAGGCATTTAGTTTCCAAAGTGGTTGGCAGGAAGAGAAGAGAGAGCCCTTTTGGGACTAAAAACAAAAAAATATTTTCTGCAAGGTTCAATGTGCTTTGAATGAGAATCTGTGCAACTGAGACTTTGATCCTCACTTGCTGACTGTCTCCTGGCCTCAGAAAAAGAGTTTTCTGTCCTGCAGTCATTAATGATTTGAAAAACGTTCTCTCTTTGGAAGTGAAACACAAGATTCAGCTAGTGTGGCTTTGGGTTGGCTTTTTTATCATAAAACTTTGTTTTGTAATTTAAAAAAAAGAAAAAATTAACAAAGAACTTTGATAATGAAACTGCTTCAGAACTCTGAATCCTTTCTAAATGTAGTACTTCAAATATAGAAACTCCTCTAACAGGTCCTTTTCCATAGAAGTCTGCAGTGTTTCCTGATCGAATCAAGAGCTTATTTCTGACCAGCCTTCTGGCAGTTCGTTAAAGTGATTGAGGAGCAACCTCTCATTTCTGACAATTGAAAAAGCACCAAAGACAGAATGGTGACTGTGCCATAAATGACCGTGCCTTTAAGACCATGTCTTAAAGGAAAAGCCTCTGTGCTGCTATCAATACTTTTGAGCTAGGGATGGTGGAATTTTTCCTAAGGTGGTTTTACCTTCTGAATCCACAACTACACTCTGCAATGACAGTGGTTTATTAATAATGAGAAATGCTTAGTGTCTGTAAGCAGCTGTACTGGGAGATTCAGTCCTGCTTCATGCTGCTGATTCTATGGCTGGAAGATTCTTTTGATGTCCAAACCACTGTATAAACAACTGAAAAGGGGTAGGTAAAATAAAATAAGAAGTTGGGGGCTATTTTGGCTGTTTGGGGTATCTTAACATTTTATTTAGCTCCTGTGGATAGAACTTCTTGGGAGACCTCCTGTTTTTTAGTTGTCTCTAACTGTATCTACCACGTGCAGTGTGTTTTCCCAGCATGTGGGAAGGCTTCTCCAGTGCATGGGGCAGAGCTGTTCTGTGTGCACTGCTTAAAAGTTTACTGCAAAAGAAATGATGGGTGTGAAAGTAGCCATGATCAGGAGGGGCCAGGAAAGGATTTAGGCCTCAGTCTTTAATGACAATGAGGGGAGCTCAGAGAGACCTCCTGCTTGAACCTTTCCTGGAGGTCTGGAAATTAGCACTTTTTTTCCCTGAAAATTAGCGGGTTTTTTCCACCATAGTCTTTACTAGAGCGCAGTGAGTATAATTAAACAATTGGAGTCGCCTCGAGAGAATTTGTAAGGTTACCAGTTACCAGCTGGTGACTCAACTGTTGCAGCCTCTGGAAGTGTGAGATGTGGGAATGGAAGATGTGAGAATTTTGTATGCAGGAAAGATGAAAATAATCTGATTAGTAGGAACATTACAATGGCTGATTGTAAATGTACAGGATTCATGCTGAGCATGACTGCCATGTGGTGACGGGAAAGTGTGATCCTGGCACACCTTTTCTCTGATGCTGAAAGACTGGAGAGGTAGTTGCAAGAGGGTGCTGTCTGTTTTAGGGACATAGGTGGCCTAAAATGAAAATTTGCCACCTCCCAGGGCAGAGTTTGTCACTTAAACACCTTCCCTCTCCTGCTCAGTGTAAGTGTAAAGTCAGATCTCCATCCAGAGCTGGAGGCTGAACACACAAAGCTTCTGCAAGGAGGTCTTTCCATGCTCACAGAGGAGCTGAGCCATGAGGCTTAGCTAGGGCAAGCAGGGACCTGATGCATATGCCAACGTTCACTGGGGGCTGTAATCCTTGGACTCTGTCTTCTGTCTTTAATTGCAGCGCATTTATTGAGCTTATAGCCCTTTTCCACCGATTAAACAAGCCTCCCTGGGTTGTTTTTCCTGGTTGAGGGCAATTGCCTCTTAGTATTGCAAAACTCCTGTGGTGTGTGAATGGTGTTGGGAAGAAGAGGTCTGGCTCCTCCTGGCAGAGGTGACCTAGCCATGGTGTGTGTGGTGCAGGAAGGGCTATTTGGGAAAGCCCCTTGCAAAGCTGAGAGACTGAGATGGAGAGTCATAGGGCCTCTGTGTCTTCCAAATCATTTATTTCCTCAACAGTTTCCCAGTCCTGTTTTCTTTGGCCTTCTAAAATTTAATTTGTTGGGGTGAGGGGGGAAATGTCAACTGAAGGATATCAGTGTGTTGAAGCAGTCTCTGCTGGGAAGTCTGTTTGCATGCTCTTGTAGAGATAAGCTGCACTAAATTACTTGGTTATAATTGAAGAAGTTTATTTCTGGGATGTCTAGTGTAATTTTGATTTTGGAGTTTAATTCCTTACAAATAAAAATCATGCTTGTGTGAAGTGCTGGGAAGAACAACTGTCCTGTTTTCCTTTCTTCCTTAGGCTCTCATCCAGTGGCCAAGTATCTGGGGTCTGTAGATTATAGATACAACAACTTCTTCCAAGATCTAGCCTGGAGAGATCTATTCAACAAACTTGAAGCACAGACCACTGGTAAGACCGTGTGTCTGTGTCTGGCCTGTGTGGGATGAAAAGTTTGAATGAGTAATTTTAGCAAAGGTCAAGTAAATACAAGAGGAAGCAGACAAATGTTTCTGTTCCTCTTTTCTCCTCACTCCACCACATTCCCATTTCAGATCTGACCTTTGTAAGCCCTTCATGAAGTGGTTTGCAAAGAGTTGTTGGCTCCCAGAGGCACTAACTAGGCTGCCTCTGAGTCATGCTGTTCTTACCTGGCTCTCAGCTTTGTTCTTTGATGCAGACGTCTCTCTGCCAAGTTCAGTACATTGCTTTCCTTCAGAAATTGTACAGCCTAAAGATTTGGAAAACTGGAAAGTCTGGGAGGATTAACTTTTCTTAGTTGTGTGTGAGAATGTTCTGAAGTCTGCTGGCAGGACCTTTCTTGTTAAAGAATTTTGTTCTTCACCGGTGTGGTAGCAAGTGGGAGCTGCCCTAGGTCAAATCAACAAATTCTTATTCTGATCTGAGATTGTTCTAGGCCAGGTTAAAGCCTTACTCTATGTTAAAATATTCATTTGCTTAAAATATTAATGCTTACAGTTTTTTCATCGATTTCAAGAATGGAAAGAAGCAGGAGAGAGGGGGATTTGCATCTGGCATTTAGGGCTACATGAAAGCTTGAGATTTGGTGCTGTCACGGCAGCATAGCCCATAGGGAAATTTCACTAGAAGGAAAAAGCTTTGGAGTTTGTGGAGCACCATGAGTGTGGGGAGGTTGCAGTGTGGTTCTCCCTGTTGGAATTGCAGTGCCTGAGACTCCCAGGATGCTCCTGGAAGTCCTTTAGCCATGAGAGGAAGAGAGAGAGACCTCTTCACAGGTAAATCTGCTTTTTTCAGCAGATGGGAAGGTGGCTGGACAAGGCCCTGGGCACCCTGTTCTGAAGGTGAAGTTAGTCCTGCTTGAGCAGGAGACTGGACTAGAAAGAGAGTCTACACATTTCCTTAATCCTAAGCTTGTAGAAGAACAGGTGTATGGAACTGGTTTCTTTTAATTCCTTACTGCACTTGAAAATGCAGACAAATGTCAATACAGACTTGATTTTTGTGTCTCGGTTAGGAATGCTTCATAATACAGTAGAAATCCAGCCCGAGAGCCACAGGTGTTCCTTAGTGAGATGTCATATGCTGGTTGTATGCTGCAACCCTTATTTATTTTTGCATTATTGTTCAGTGCAGATCTTGTACATTCTGTGTTTTCATCTGTGCAGTGGGAACTGCACAGAAACCCTGTGATGGCATAAGATGATCTGCCAGAGAATTGTAGCTCTTAATAGTTCACTGTTCAAATACAAAGAGTTGGATTAAAATGCCCATTTATAAGGTATGGAAGTGCCTGGTGAAGGTCACTTGCATTCCTGTGATCTCACATTGAGGCTCTTTGCTGGAAACCAAAGAAATATTGAAAGTGTTTAGGAAATGTCTTCCTGTCAACTTGAATCAAGCACAGTCTCACCTATCTGGAGCATTGCTGCCATAGATGTGATCTTTGTGCTTTTCCTGTCCTTGCATGTCTCTCAGTCTTCTCAGTGAACTCAGCAAGGCCATGAGGTCATTAGGAATTCAGGTCACTGAATGCTGGTGTGAGCAGAGCAGCTCACCTGGGAGAGGTGGCCAGGCACTTTCTTCAGCAGATATCTGCAGTCAAGGTGTGGAAAAAGCCTTAATCTGACTCTGGGCAGGTACATGTTTTCAAAGAAAAGCTTTTAACCACTATAAAATACCCATGGCACTTCAGTCAGTAACGCTGTGTGCAGATGTCTGTGCTTATGTACTTAGTGTTCCTTCCCAGTGTTTTCACCTTAATGCTCTCGTAGGATGTTTGCTTTTGGTTGGACAGCTTTCCTGTGCTCTGGAGTAAGCAGAGCTTCCTGGGGAAGATGCAGTTCAAATGCAGATGGCAGGGCACCATCAGCAGGTGGGAGGACAGTGGTGCTGGTGGTTGGAAAAGTCACTTAAATGCTTTTCTTTGTTCTCTTGCAGTTCCAGAGGCGCCCGATGTCGTCTCCCGGATAACCCAGTACATAGCAGGGGCAAACTGTGCACACCAGTTGCCCATTGCTGAAGCCATGCTGACATACAAACAGAAAAGGTATGTCACTGCTGTCATACTGGCTCCCAGGGTGAGCAGCTGGTTGAAAACAGAGTGCTTTTCTCATCTCATGTGCTAGCAGTCTTAAGATCACTCCAAATGGCAAAACCCTTGGGAGCCTTACGGTAGCCTGCACCCAGTGATGTGTCCCACTCAGTGAATCTACAACAGTGGGGTTACTTCAAGTGCAGTGATTTTCTTGAAGATATGAGAGGTTTGGGAAAATGGGGACTAAGGAGGATGGGGGACAGACAGAGTATATCTGCTTAGGTTCCAGAGATCTCTTACCACAGAGACCTTAGTGTGTAAGACTGGACCTCAGCATTCCCCCTCAAAGTATCTCCCATGAGATCTAACCTTTTTACATCAGCGTTGATGGAACTGAAACCCTTTCTTTTTGGAGTGTAAATAACAGAGCTTCTCGCAGGAGAGACAAAATCCTTGTTGATTGGCAGTTGCAGGCTACCAGGACTCCTTCTGGGGAGGGCTGACATTCACCAGGTTTTATCTCAGCTTCTCTTAAGGGATAAGCAGCCTGCAGGAAGGACGATTGGGGTCTGAAAGCAAGAGCAGGAGTATGTAGAGCCTCATGTGGCCAGGGTCCAGGAGGAAGAGTAACTGTCACTGAAGGGTAGAGAAGCATTGTTATGAAGGGACGGACAAAATAATAGATTCCAACTCACATCCTAATAATTTCCAAGAGTAGGACAAACACTCAGCTCATGTGATTTTTCTCAATTAGGGACTAGCAATTTCCTATGAGGCATGGATGGTGTTAACTGTTAATCACTTCTATTTGATTTTTCATTTTTGGTCCATTAACATCCCTCGTTGGTGTCTCCTTGGTAAGAATTGTGAGGGATTAAAAGTGTGGATAAAGTAACTTTTTTCCCTCTTTTTGGAAATTCTCAGTGTATATTGCTTTTCCATTCCCGTGTCTGTTCTTACATTACTTCGCAGAAATGATTCAGTAAAATTCTGCCCATTCTACATATTTTCCTAGGGAAAATATCTCTGAACTGACTAGTCCAGTAAAAGAGACTAGTCCAGTCTCTTCATGTATTTGTGAACTTCTGTAAAATTAACGTGATAATAAGAATTAAATTTGAAGAGCCACAGGGTACTTGAAGCTCTTGTCTTCAATTTTCCATTTTGTTTTTGGTGTGAAGACTTACCCTAGTTACCAGCAGGGAGATCAAACACCCCTAGTGCAGTGTGAACCCCTTCTCAGGGCAGCCTTGTTCTTTCTCTGCACTCTTGGGTTGCTGGGTTCTGCACTGGTTTCCACTGCCTCCTGCATTCTGTTGCAGATTCATTTTTGTCATTAACATATATTTAATCATTTTGAGTTTCCAATGTGCTCATAAAGATAAACTCAGTACTTTGTTGAAAAACATCTGAAATGTACTTGAGCAACACATGCCCTTAGTCCTCCCAGCAGTGTGCATGACAGCTTTAGCAGGCTGGTGTGAGCCATTTGGATTTTACATCCTTTGGGCTCTGGTGCCATGCCTGAAGCTGTCGATAGGTTTAAGTCAGGCTCAAACCCTGCAGAAGGCTGCTGGGAAGAGAGATTGCTGAGACTGGTAGTCAGACTGGCACAGCTGGCAGTCTCTCAGTGTCTCTGTGTGTCCGCTTTAAAGTAACTTCTGCGTTCAGGTCAGTACCCCATGAGCAAACCAGAGCGAGTTAGAGTAACAGAGTAACTGCCCATGGAGCGTGGGCAGTTGTCTCCCAGTGTGCCTTGCTTTAGATATGCCTGTCTCTCTCACTGGCAGCAGCTTAGGGAGGGTATTGTGAAAAACAGCACAGAAATTGTGTCTCCATTAGCACTATCTAAATGAATGCATCACTTTGTTGTAAGTATAATAACGCATTTATCTTTTTCTTTGGTTGCTTCCTGAAAAGGAAAAAGAGCTTTCATTTTGATTTTACCTTAAGGTATCAGTTGCTTTTAGGTTCCCTCTCCCATCTCCTATCTCTTTTCCCAGTGAACTGGTCTTTTGTGCCTTGTTTAACAGTTCCTGCGGATCTGGGATGCGCAGTTTGTGCTTTAGGTTAAATTCTGCTCGCTGCTTTGAAACTATGGCATCTGCTGGCAGAACGCATAACTCAAAGTGACTGCCGTGCCTTTGGACCACACATTTGGGTTCCCAGCATGTAGATTGAATGGGAACGAAGGAGTTATTGAGAGAGTAGCTTTGAGCAGTAAAATATGGAGAAGGTAGGGTTTTTTCTTGCCTTTTTCCTGGCTATCAGAGGATATTGTGTAGCCCCAAAAGGATGAGAACTGAGAAAAGGCTTTTCAGTTCCCGTCTGTTGGAACTGGAGTGCTGCAGGTGGCACTCAGTGGCTCAGGGTGGAGTTCAGCTGTGCAGTGTCTGAGTGCAGACCAGCAAATCTCCTCCCTGTAATCAAAACAATTGAGGACTAGTCTCTTACTGGCAGGCTATCCCAAATGTATGGGACTTAAGAAAGAGAAGACAGATGTACGCTAGCAGCGGAGTTGTGCTCTCTGAGCTGCCTCCAAGACCCCCTTGCTCTGCAGGGTCCCATCCTTTGAATCATATGATAATTGGACATTGTTTATTTTGTCCTCAGCTCACAAAGTTACTGCAGCTCCCTCTCCCTTGAGGACAGAGGTGGACTTGGCTTCTCCAAGTCCAGCTTTCAATGCAGTGGTCTATGCAGAAACAGCAGCACTACCTACAAATTCATTGCAACAGAAATCTCCCAGAATCCTAGCATTTGTTCTGTTAAACAAGTCCTAGTGGTCCAAGGAAAGCCAAGCCAGTCTTTAGGATGTAGCTGTATGTGATGAGCTGCTTTATAACTTTACTGCCAGCTATCCCTATTTTGACCTACCTACACTCTCCTTCCCGTCCCTGTGTTCTCTTTGTCATGGCAAAAAGTTGGCGCATGTGCTGCCTGTGATGGACTGCAATGGTGCCAAAGCTTTGTCCTGTTCTTTTGGAGCATTTGCTGGCCTTACCTGAAATCAGGGGGGCTGGCAATGAGGAAGGGGTTCAAGAAGGGAATGAATTGCCATTGCAGCTCCTCTGCGTTACACTGGGTGACTGACTTTGTCTGTGAGCTCTGGGTGCTGGTTACAGAATTGTCAAGGAACAGTGCAGCCCAGGCAACATCTGGGGTGCTGAGACCGTGGTGGTGAGGTGGGCTTCTCACTAGGAGAGGTGTCTCATTGATGCCGATAAACTCTCTGCATTGTTTTCCTGAAAGAGAGACTGTGGTATTTGAGATCTGAGGCTCACCAGACACTTATTCCCAGTGCTAGATTGCTGATCAGCTCTGTCAACCTGGGCTGGTGTCACCCACTGTAATTCAGTGCCCAGCACAGCTCATGCCATGTGGCTTCTGGATAGCCCTTGCATGAATCTGGGAAGCAGCTTGGCTACTGGAAATGGAAGCATTGTTCACTTGTCAGGACAAAGGCTGGGTCATTTCCTGCCTGGTTTACCAAAAGCTCTTCACTCTGTCCTGTAGAGCACTTCCCAGCTTTTGCTTCCTGGAGCACAGTTGCCTTGGGTTGGAGGGTTCCTGGGCAATAGGAAGCAGGGGTAATACTGCTTTCTGCCTGCTGTGTGTCTTGGAGGCTCTGCAGAGTCCAAGCTCCGAGTTCTGCTTCTTGAACACACCCTGCAGCAGTCACTGAACATGGTGAAGATGGCCCCGGTCTCTCCTCTGGCTCAGCAGAGCCCATGTCATCTGTCTGGTTGCTTCAGGAACCTCCTTGGGCAGCTGGTGGAAACGTAACAGGAGTTCACTGTGCCCCTGACCTGGCCAAGCAGTGCAGTAGAGGAGAATCAAGGCTCAAGAAAGGCTGGGTGTCCTGTTGAGTATGTCCGGCTCACTGTAGGAATGTGAAGAGTGTTGTATGGGAGGTTTTGGGGAAGGTTGAGAGGTGACTCATCTGATTTGTCATGGGGACCTGGAGTTGCTTTGTCCCTTTTTTGGCTTGACCACTGGAGACTTGGTGGAACAGGGACAGTGTTGGTGAGCAGACAGCTGCAGCTGCCTGGTGATGATGCTTCATACCAAAAATAAACCTTGGACAGTTTTTGGTAGTGCCTGGTCTGAAGTGGCTCAGAGGTGATAAAAGTCCCCTCTTTCCTATTGCCCTGCTTCAGGACTTCCGTGGAATAAAGGTAGTGTCTGAGACTCCTGCTAGGAAATCACAGATGTTTGGCTTCATTTGAATCTGTTTTGGGTTGCTTAAATTTTAATGCTAATAAGTAGCATAACTACTCTAAGTGTTAATTCAGTCTCTCTTACTGTAATATCCAAGTGCTTTGCAGCTTAGCTTGTACACTGAAAGGTATTATTCCTTCTGCTTGTCAGGTGGCTGACTCCTGGTGATACAGCTGCTTCTCCTTTCTAAGAGTCCTAAAACATAAATCCAGATATCATGTCTTAATCTGAATGAATTTCTTGGGGTAGGGAGGGAGCCTGCAAGTCCATTTCTGGACAGGTTACCTTTGAGGCACTGATTACAGTTGCATGACTTTTACCCAAGCAAGAATAGTAATTAGACAGCTCCGAAATCCAGATAAAGATTTTCTTTCTAGCCTCTCTGGTTTTTGTTGTCCTCTAGAATTTGTTGGTTTGTGGTTTTTGTTGTATGAGGGTTTTTCTTCCCCAGAATTAGAGATGTGAAATATCAATAACACTGTTGGAAATCACAACCTAGGGTCAGGTCTGGCTTTAAATTACAGCTGAGGCACCAGGGCCTTCAGAAGCCCTGTAGGTAAAAGTAAAGCCTGGGGTTAAACCTCTGGAGCCTGGGAATCTGTGCAGCCAAGGTAATAAGGGGGAACTGCCTTTCCAGGGACAGGGGATATTTTTCATTGCAGGGCTGTGGTAGGAGGAGTTGAAGAGGCTGTTACGAAGGCGAAAGGATTCTGGATTAATATTTTGGGATCTTGGGATCCTGAAGAACAAGAATTGTGAAAGAGCATGAAAGAGGAAGTGGAGAACAAGCACGATCATCTCATCTTTCCTTTCATCCACATGAAGAGCAACTGTTTTGAAAAGCTGCATTTTCAGAAGTACACGTGCAAGTCCAGAGTTCCCAAGAGGACATGTGACAGGACTAGGCTAGCTGAGCTGAAATCCAGCTGGATTGCTTCAGGAACAGCCTGTGCATCATTGTGAGCTGTGATAAATGGTGACTGAAGCAATGATTTATTTCAGAATTTCCACTGAGCTCTCCGCAGTGGGAGTCAGAGCTCCCAGGGGGAACAGGAATGAGTTTTCTGCTGGAATTGGGCATGGTTTGTTTTTTGAGAGCTCGGAGTAAAGCCATTAGTAGCTGAGAGATGACTGGGCAACTATTGTGCTTCCCTCACTTGGTCAGCAGGACTTGCTTTCTGCCTGCTTCTCAGCCCATGGAACTCAAGGAATGAGAAAAAAACTGAGCCTCTGTTCTGTGCTGCTTCCAACAGCTCAGTGGTTTTCTTGTTTCCCTTTGCAAATGAAAATATCACGTGGAAATATCACATTTGTAGGAGATGTGTTTGCTGGGGACCTGCAGCTGTGTTTGCAAAGATGTGACCTTTCTGCCTTCCAACACAGAATCAGGGATTTGGTCACTTTGTCCCGTACTTTGGGGGAAGAATGAAGGGGTGTAGTGCCTGGGTCTGTGAGGTAGGAAGGGAGTAAAGCCCTATTGTTTGCCCTAGGAATGGATAAGAAGAGCTGAGCCTAAGTGAGAGGCTGTTTGCAAAATTACACTCTGCTTTGGACCAGGAGGGAGCTCTGCCTGAGTCACATTAACTGCAGTTCTATGCCATTCTTTCCATGAGGCTTAGAGGAAAGTGTCCAGCCTGTGCTAATCACACAGTAGTTGACAACCTTTGTGCGTTTGGTGCATTTCTGATCTGTGCTGGAAACAGCACAAAAACACCTGTGTTCCTGCAGTAGTCATGCTGCCACAAACTCAATTCTGGATGGTTTTTCTGGGAGCAGAGGGATGCACAGAAAGAGAAACATGAGAAGTCTCAGTGTTTGTCTACTTCCTACCTGTCTCCTGTGCTTGGTCACTGAGAAATGAGTGTCTTACCTGTGCAGTCACTTCCGCTGCTGAGCTGTAGTTCCTTGGAACATGTGGATGTGCTCCTGTGGTCCTCTCCTTATCCTGTGGGTCCATCTTAATCTCTGTCGCCCTTGAAGGGAGCAGTGGCTCTGCAGGCCCTTTCAGCCTGCCTTCCTCACTTAGATCTTGTTCCTCTTGTGTTTGTTGAGTCTTTCCCTAATTCCTTCTAGGTTTGACCGTGACCTTTGTTGCTGGCTCTTCTCTACCCTCTGGCTTCTGAATCCTGGGCAGGGCCAGAGCAGGAGGGGCTTTCCAAGTGTGTGCATTGTCTTCAGTTGTCTCTGGGACATGGTGTGCCTTCTGTTCGGTTTGGTTTAGCTGTTTGCAGTTCTCAAGTTGGTGTCCTGACCTGCCCGGTGTGCTCTGGTGCCCGACCTCTCCAGTGTGCCTGTGGAAGGGACTGCCAGCTCCCGGTGGCCTGGGACGCGCGTGTGTGTGCGTGAGGGTGTGTGAGCACGTCCTTGCCAGTGCTTTACAAATAACCACGTGTCACGGCTTGTAACCCCGTGGCAGGCTAACTGCTTTAGCGGTGCCGGGATGTGCAAGGTATGGCACATGGCTCCAAAGGTGGGACGCGGGAAGGCCCTGCGTGCAGAGCGCTTCAGGGACTAGTAAGTAACGCACAGTTCTCCGTGTTGTTGTGGCACAAGATCCATTTCCTTGCAGTAGGAGGTCGTGTGTCTGTGATGACTGCCATGCCATCAAAGCATGTTTCTCTGTCAAGCGTGAGGGAGGGAGGAAGAGACTGTTCCCCGAGGGACATGCCGTAGGCTGCGTGCTCCTCCCCACCCGTGCAGACTCTTGGCGTGCTGGCAGGGGGCCTTGAGAGGAGCGTTGGACTGGCGCTTGCATACTGTCCGTCCCTGCTGCATGCTGGAATGCAACGTATAAAGTGAGTATCGTGACCGGGGTGGAAGCAAAGCTAACAAGTCTTTTTCTCTTTGCCTTTAGCCCTGACGAAGAATCTTCGCAGAAGTTCATTCCCTTTGTCGGGGTGAGTGTTGTCGTAGTTACACTCAGCTAGAATAAGTCCATAAGTGTTAACCTGAACTTACATGGTTTCTGGAGTAGAGCAGAAGCCATTGGGTGCTCTAAGGCAGAATATCAGCATGAGAATCTGATGGTTGGATGCAACTGCCTGATATGTAAGCATATCCTTCTAAGATCCCTCAACAAACTACAGGGTGTATTTTACTTCTCACACGTGAAAGTGACGTGTCCCTGGAAATCTGATTGCTCTGGTTGATTTGGCCAAATTTGCTATTCTACTGTCAGTCCTCCGTGTGCTTGTCATGAACAAACTTCAGTCCTCTTAATATCCCATCCACTCCTGGGATGTGGGTAGTACATCCCACCAGGGAGATAATTTATACCTCTGTTAAGCTTGAGTCTGGGGCAGAGCTATTTAATGCATTTTATTACGTGAACATGTATTTGGGATAGTAGTCCCTAGTTTTCCCTCCTGTCCTTATCTTTAAGTGTTCCTGGCAAAGGTGGTCAAGTGCAGAGTATCTAGGCAGGGCCATGTTTGTTCTTCTGTCCATGTATTTCATGCACTGTGTCCTTTGCCTTTTCTAGCTTCCCTCCCCTTATTTGATCAAGCTCTTCAGTTCATTAAGTTTTAGGTACAAAGTCATTGACCTGCAACTAAAAAGGAATCCCCTGGCTGCTCTTCAGTTGTTGGATGTCCTTTTCACAGTTTTTGCTGCTGTCTTGTAGCTTCTCTTTCTTGCATGCTGGCTGCCTTGCTCTGCCTGCTCTGTGTTTAGCTGACTTGTGTGCACTCCCGTTTGTGTCCCTGTCGTCAGAGCTAATCCGAAATCCCAAGGCATTTAAAGAGCTTAGCCTCTCTTGCCCTCAGGCTGACCCTGCTTTCACTCATGTGTCTCCTCAGAGTGAGAATCTCTCCTTGCATTACTCCCGAGAAGATACATCTTCCCAATTTGTTCCCTGCTGATGAGCTTTGCTTTATCTTGTCCCTCCCATGAACTGCAATTTCTAGTGAAGAACTGTTTTTATAAAACAGCTGTTTCACCTTACCTAATAACATGAAAAGCCCAGAAGGGTGTGGAAGCTCCCAGACTCCTCTCATAGCTGCATGGCTCTGTAAAGCTTTTCTTTAGGACTGATTTAGTTCTGTGTTATGTGCAAGCAAATGGGGCTCGAAGTGTTTATCAAATTGCTCTAAAGTGATCATTGTCCTGACATTAGCACTGCTTTTCCAGTCTGGCTGTGATTGTCTGAAAGTGGTGGAAGAGTGAATGGCTTTGTTGTTTATATAACACTGCCAACCCCCCAAAAAACTTGGCTTGAAAGCACAGACTAACTTCCTATGTCAGCTGGTGATGAGGGTCAAATCAATGCTGCTTGCTCTTGCTTCTGAGGTGTTCCTGACACAGTAATTCCCCATGAAACACATGTAAAGAGACTCTGAAAGGCCAATTGCAGGTGTCTCACAAAGTCAGAGGCTGGACATGAACACCAGGGCTCTTTCCCTCAGCTGCAGCCTGCTTGTAACCCAGAAGTGAGCAGGGCAGTGCCTTGCTACTCAGCTGGGCTCTGAAGTGGTGGGAGTGGAACCTCACAAGGGGCCAGGGTCAGGTGGTGGAGGCTGCGTGGTCCAGTTGCCAGGAGAGTTAACAGGATGTGCCTCTTCCTGAAAGGAAGGGAGGCTGGCTGCTGACACATTCCTGGATGGAAGCATGTTGGAACTGCAGCAGTCTCAAGGGCCTCCCTGAATGGAGGGAAGGGAACGTGTTTGTGTTCCTCCCGTGTGTCTGAACTCGAGCATCTTCAGTCAGCCAGCAAGGAGGAAAAGGCCAGAAGAGATTTCTGTCTGGCTTGCAGATCAAGGTGGCTGTAGGCAGCTTCCTGTGTTGCTTGTCTTTCTTAAATCTTCTGCCTTACCTCCTCTTGCTCACAGCCAGTGACAGTCTCTGAAACATCCTCTTGGTGTTTAACACATACAGCACAAATGACTGCTGGACTCCAGAGCCTGATTTGTTGCCCTTTGGATGGAGATTGGACAAACTGAGCTACAGCCTCCTTCTCCCAAGCCAGTGACCCCTCAGGGAGCCTCAGTACACACTGCTGAGTTCATGATGACTTTTCCAAGACTGGATCTAACAGAGAATCCACCAGAAAGCCTGAGAGCTCTCCAAGATCAGCATACCTCTCCCCACCCTCAAAACTCTGCAAAGCTTTCTGCTTATAATAAAGTCCTTTTTTTTTCTGGTCCCATAGCACAGAAACATGTTCCCTAGAGATGTGGTCCAAACATGGTCATGTCTGAACTTAAGGACCTTCTATTTTCAAACTAAACAGATTGCATAGTATCATTTCTCATTCTAAAGCAGATTTTATTGACTTGAACTCCCTTTGCAGCTCTTTCCCATTTGTCAACATTTACACAGGGTAGACATTAACCCTGGATACAAGTTTCTTAAAGACCTTAAAAAAGGGTCTCTGCTGTGTTAAGAGGAAGAATCCCTGTGCACCATAGCAGATTAGCGCTACAGAAGGTCCTTGCTTTTGTATCACCAAGAGGCATTTTATCTTTCTAGGCGTATTGTGTTCTTGGGAGCTTGTTTGTAGCATGTTCTGTTCCACAAATTATCACCAGTGGCATTTATCATTAATCTTAATGTACTAGCTGGTGGTTGGTTGGCCACACACATTTGTACCCTTATTACTGTGTGATTTGGATCGTTCTGACCAGTCCGTGTGGTAGTTTGTCCATGTCTATATCCAGAGGCTTTGCTAGGAGCTTTATCTTCTTTGCCTGACACTACCCTTGCTTAGAGCATAGAAAACTCTGAGCAGAAACTGTACGTTGCTGCTTCTTTGGTTTCCTGACAAACCTCAGCTATGCTGCACCCTGGAAGTGGCTGCACTTTGGTGGTGGAAGCAATGTGTATGTAATTAGCAGTGCTGAAGGGATATTTATGTCCCTTTCTCCTCCCTGACCCACTCCACAGGTGTCATGGGCACTGTAGTTGCCATAGCTTGGGGCTGATGGTAAACTGTTCAGAGCTGTCAGGTCTGTAACAGCTCCATAGGGTCTCTGCTGTCCCTTGTATAGGTCAGGGATGGGCTGTGAGCTCATACTCCTTGGCTGGATGCTGCTGGAACCTGCCCAGCTCTTAGAAGACTCCACTTTTTCCACTTACTTCAACTACTCTGACTGCAGGGACAGTGCCAAGGGGACTGCAGGGATGAGCTTAGGTTTGGGGTTGTGGGTTCCTAAAGTTCAAGGGACTCCTGTTTCATAGAGCTCTTCTGTTTTTCCCCCTTTAGGTGGTGAAGGTTGGAATAGTGGAACAATCTTCTGCAACATCAGGTAACGAGTATCCTGTGTGCCTTCTGTGTCCTACAGGTGGTAGGAGTCTGACTTCACAGGCTGAACAAACTTGTCCATTGCTGATGTCTTGGAGTGCTGTGAGGTGGAATTGGATTTTATTGGCTCCCAGTTCCACTGCTTTGACTCTGTGGCTTGTCTGCCACAGAGAATGAGAGCCCTCTCAGTTGAGAGAGGCCATTTTTCTTGTTACTTTACAAGGAGCTTCAGGCCAGATGAAATTCCCACACTCTCATCCAGGGAAGCTCCACTCACATTTGTGCAAGCACCCATTTTTCTCATGTGTTCTCAGTGGGGTGGATTCACTGCTGTGGTTCCTACTCCAAAATGTGGAAGCAGGCCATCAGAAGTTCATGCCTGTCTCCCTACACTGGGCTCAATTGCCTAATAAAATCAATCTCAGACATGTGCCTTACACTGGGAACTTTAGGATGGGCAAAATTTGGACCCTTTTATTTTTTAATGGAGAATGCAAGGTGATTTACACCATACTGCCTGCTTACACACATGGATATGAGGTAGTGCTATTTTGTCAACGTGAATGTATTTTTTCCTCCTTCATACATACTACTAGTCAGGATTATTGTTTTCATCATCTGTTGGGATTGTTTCTTGTATTGCTTCACTATTAAACCCAGATTCTTGTGGCCTGTGTTACACATAGGTTTGTGCATGGAGGCAGCCCTTCTGTGAGTCACTCCTTGTGGCCACAGTGATCCCTCCATTCTGAAGGGCTGACATGAAGGGAATGATGCCTTGGTTGTGGAGGGTGGAAGCAGATGGAATGGGGAGGTCCCTGTGATCAGCCCAGAGGTGCTGCATTCTAAGAGTGCTGCTGCCCTGCAGTGGTTGCAGGGGGAGATTCCCCATCAGAGATCAGTGAGCTGGGCTCTGACTGTGCAGGAGGCTTAAAATCAGCTGGGAGCAAACCCTAGGAGAGCAGATGCCACATGAGGAGCCCAGAGGAGTGTGAATGTCTGTGCCTGCCTTGTACCCAAACATAGAAACCTGGTGGTTGAAGTGTGGAGGCCATCAAAACTGGTGGGCTGGCTGACCTCTGGATTGAATGTGAGCAAAACCTGTGCAGCAGCAGCGTGGGCAAGGAGACTGAGCTATCCTGGTGTGTATGTGCTGGGCTGTGAGACAAACCCAGACAAACAGTTCGACTTCCTTTTTTTAAGGTGACTCTGATGATGCAGCTCCCTCAAGCTCCAGTGTCCTTTCTTCTACCCCACCTTCTGTATCTCCTGCTGTGAAAGAAGCCTCCCCCACACCCCCTTCCTCACCATCTGTTACAGGCAGCTTCTCGTCCTCAAGGTAAACCATGTTTTGTCTCCTCACAGCCCCCTTGGCTGCTTATCTGGCATATGCATAAGAGAGAGCTCCTCTAAAGGGAAACCCATAGCTCTTTCTTCATCCTTAGCAAACACTCAGAGCTGTCACCTTTCCCCTTCACCTCTTTTGCCTCTGGAGTCACGATGTCTTTGCTGACCGACAAGGAGCTGGGGAGGGCAGGGGGAATCTTGCACTCAATGGGAAGGCTGCATGTCCCAAGGTCAGACACACTGGAATTACAGGGGGCAGCCTTGTTTCTGACAGTCTGGCAGAAACCAGAGCTGAGTCATTGTGGCAGCCATTTGGGTAGGTTTGTTATTTCCATCTGCTGGTATTTTCCCTTTGAGACTGGATTCTTTTGAGGAGATACATAGTCAAAGAAATTACTGACCCTGATACACGTGGGTGCCAGGCTAATCCCTCATGATTCTTATGTTTTCAATGACCAGGTGAGTGTAAGGCCAGAGGGACTCTTGAAGGAGCTGACCCCTTTCTCTGTGAGGGGAGAGCTGGAAGTCGTAAGGTGACATAGTTGCCATTCATGTGTGTGCCTGAAAGTATATCAGAACTGCAAGGAGGCTTCACCTATAGATAATATTAAGTTCTGGCTTAGCTGAAATTTTTAGGGGTGAAGGGAAGAAATCTCTAGAAGACTGCCAGTAGAGACTTGCTCTGGCCAGGACTCTTCATCTTGTTGCTGCACAAAACATTGGCATAGCTGTCTAACACTTTGTGTGCAGTTCTCGTACTCAGAAGCACTTGGTGAAGTTCCCCTTGATTTGTTAACTCCTCTGAACCTTTAAGGCAACATAGCAGCACTCTTGTGAGAAGGGGAAACTAGAAGCACTTGGACTCTCTTCCTAAGTAGCATCTCCTGCTGTCCCTGTTGGAGACAGAATGGGGACCTTCCGTGCCCACCCCAGACTGCCCTGCAGGGACCTTTAACCTCTGACTTCTTCAGCTGCCTTAAGAGTTCCCTTTTAACAAGAGGAAATGTAAATGTGGAAGGCCTAGTTTAGCAGGTGCTCAGCACTGGAAGGTGTTAGTGGCTGTTCACATGTGCCAGGAGGTCCAGTTCCCTGGGTGCCTCCTGTTGGCTCCCTGTGCTTTGGTGGCAGGGGAGCCCTGTGTGCCCCAGGCTGGTCCCAGCAGCAGCTGGGGGCTGTGCAGGCTCTGGGGAGCAGACCTGACTTCTCCTGTGTGAGCTTTGTATGGACTTTCCAAAGGTGGAAGTGCTTTGGGAACCAATACACACAGGAGTGTAAGATGTTCAAGTTGTGAGCCATGGATGTGATGTATCTGAAGTTGACACCCAGGCTCTAGGAGTCTGGTACTTTTTGGTTCCATACTGTAGGGTAAAATCATCAAGAAATGAGGAGGTTTAGGTTCAACATTGTTCCATCTCCCCTGACCTGTAAGTGACAACACAGGGGGTGGAGGGTGACCCAGACTGAAAGATTAAGCCACATGTTTAACAGGGAATGGAACATAAAATCCTTCCAGGGCATAGTGAACACTAGGATGCTTTGTCTTTACAACTGAGTTGAGAAATGTGATGCAAAGGAGTCTTTAAACTCAAAACAGCATCTCCAAAGCCTCATCCTTAAAGAATCTCACTTCTGAATATTGCCCTGAGAATCCAAAACCTGGTTTTGGTGATCAAAGATGAACTCAGCTTTGCAGTCTCTCAGCTGAATAAATGGCAAACAAAAGGAAGTGCTGAGAGGACTCTAATGATGGGATGTCCTTGTTTAACCTTGAGAGTTTCTTATTAGACAGGTGGTGCAGAGGGATGCATATTTCATTCAAGATCAGATTTATCTTCCTTAACAATTCCCATCTCTCAAACGGGACATGGACTGGTAGATAAATTTAGCTTTTTGTCTAGTACTTGCATATTATTCAACACTGATTGTCATTGTATAGGAAGAAGTATAGGCTGTCAGCCATAGGTCTGCTCCCTTGGGGTTAGCTGGCAAGAGGCAGGGGCAGGCAAGGGCTGGAATTTCCCAGGTTGCTCATCTTCCCCTTTCTGGCTCAAGAAAGGCTGGCAGTGTGTTTTGGTGATGCACAACTGTTACCACACAACGCGCGGGAGTTTTCAACAGCAGATCATGTCCTGAAATCTACCATTGTTTAGCAAGCATCACAGGACTGGCAGAGCATTTTTCCATCAGTGGAATTCCCTAGCAAGTGGCAGGGCTTGGGGGGAGGCAGTTATCACATGCCAACTCCATAACAGGGACCTGGGGAGAGCAGAGATGCTGTTTGATTCTGAGCCAGAAAGGAAGCAGCTGGTGGCAGGAAGAGCTCAAGAACATAGGAGATGGAAGCAAGTCAGGGAGACTGGGAACTGAGTACTGGAGGAACTGAGTTCAGGGACCCACCAGGTCTTTGCTCACCCCAGTTCAGGGTTGATTTTGGCAATGCTGCACCTGGACAGAGTCACTCATCAGTGCTCAGGAGGCAGCGACAAGTGCTTGCAGCCTCTTTTCCCCACTCAAAAGACGAAGTGATCTGGGATGCCTCAAGGGTTGCCTTTAATGGGTGGGTCACTGAATTCCACATTGTGGAAGAAAGCTTTCCCACTGCTCATCCCTATGGCTGTGCAACAGGTCAGGTTGTCTTGGCTCAGTGCAGTTCTGTGCTGCCAAGCTGATGCCCCTGTGCTGTGTGATGCAGGTTGCATCTCTCAGGGATGAGTTCTTGGGCTTTTGTAATTGCTGGGTCTTGCTCTGAAACGTTGCTGCCTGATTCCCCAAAGAGCCATGTGTTTATCCTTTGATCAGGAATGCCAGCCACTCTGAAAAAAGCACAGATGGGGGGAACTGCTGAGAGCTGTGCAGAAATTACCTTCTTGTCTTGTTTTCCAGCCAGGGCCTCGGTGCTGAGTTGATGGGCCTGCAGGTGGATTACTGGATTGCAGCTCCACCCGTGGATAGAAAGAGAGACCCGGAGAAGAAGGACCCCTCCACTACCAAAAACACACTGAAATGCACTTTCCGGTCCCTCCAGGTCAGCAGGTTACCTGCCAGCGGGGAGATTGCCACCACTCCAACCATGTCCATGACTGTCGTGACAAAAGAAAAGAACAAAAAAGGTAAGGTGAAGGTGGACACATTTGCTGCTGCCTGAGGCCAAGAATGCAGTGCTGCCCTCCCTGTCCTGCTGCCCTCCCTGTCCTGCTGCCCTCCCTGTCCTGCTGCCCTCCCTGTCCTGCTGCCCTCCCTGTCCTGCTGCCCTCCCTGTCCTGCTGCCCTCCCTGTCCTGCTGCCCTCCCTGTCCTGCTGCCCTCCCTGTCCTGCTGCCCTCCCTGTCCTGCTGCCCTCCCTGTCCTGCTGCCCTCCCTGTCCTGCATTACAGCACCTCAGTCATGTTTTTATCCTCAAAATCCTAATCTGTAGATGAGAAGTGACTACATAAGGTGATAGAGTTTGAAAGGGTGGTTCCTCTTTGTGCTGTAAAAAGGGGATTTGTTCACTCTTACGGTTGAACAGCTAAGATGGTGTAGCTCAGAAGAACAAAGGTGGGGACAGAGTGCTGGAAACTTGGGAGAGCTATGCTTACTGGGATGATATCCCCATCCTGTGAGCCTTCAGCTCAAAAGAGCCACAGAGAATAAAAAAGGCACGTAAGGGGGGAAAAAAAGGGGAGGGGGAGACTATGCCCCAGCAAGTACCATGGATCCCTGTGAGATGACAAAACAGGAGAACACCCTGAACTGGAGTCTAGGACCTCCCACTCTTCCCCTGCACACAGTCTCACTCTAGAACCAGTGATCTAGAACCTGGAGCAAAGTCATGTGGGAGTGGCTGAGGGAGCTGGGGGTGTTTAGCCTGGAGAAAAAGAGGCTCAGGGAGACTTTATCACTCTCTACCACTGCCTGAAAGGAAGGTGGGGGTCAATCTCTTCTCCTAGGTAATGAGGGACAGGACAAGAGGAAATGGCCTTGGGTTCTGCCAGGGGAGTTTTAGATTGGATATTAGGAAAATTTTCTTCACCAGAAGGATTGTCAAGCACTGAAAGAGTCTGCCCAGGGCAGTGGTGGAGTTGCCATCCCTGCATGCTTGGAGGTATTTAAAAGATGTGTAGATGTGGCACCTGGGGACATGTTTTAGTGGTCCACTTGGCAGTGTTAGGTCAGCAGTTGGATTTGATGATCTCAGAGGTCTTTTCCAACCTAAAGGATTCTATGACTCTTATGCTTTTGTACAGAGTACTTTGTTGGTCAAAAGGAAGTAGAAGAGAAATGCTCTCAGTTCAAAGCCTCATGTTATCTTTTTTCTTTTTTTTTCTTCTTCTTAAACTCATGGCTTTAAGCTTATTTTCTCAAAACAAACTAACAAAAAAGGCATTTTAAATGTTGTCAGTAATTCTGTATTTGCTCCTGGCCTTGGTAATGTGAAACATTTTTGAAACTGAGAACAGTTCTGCAGCGAAGTATTTTCAAGGAAGCAGCAAGGCAGTTCTGCACTTACATTCAGCTGCCAGTAGCTGTCCTTCACATCTTCCTGCCTGTGGGCCTGGGAGTCACTCTTGATGGAAGCAGGGGTTTTGGGGGCTCTGAGAGGAGGCTGACAGAGCTTTCTTGCATAACTGTGTAGCTAGGTCAGTCCTGGGCCAACACAGCTGTGGCGCTGCTGGTACCAGAGCTGCCACCTGTGATGACACCCTTTAAGTGTCATGCTGATGGGAGAAGCAATCCTGAGACACTCCAAATGTTCTTCCCTGGGGCTGGCCTAGCCTACAGCAGAGGTGTTTAACATCACCAGCGTTTGTGGAGCTGGTTTGTACATCTTTGCTCATGCATTTGGACAGCTCTTAGGGAACTGGACCCTTTTTTAACTTCCCTTCTGCCTTCCCTCTCCACCAGCTGCCCCCAGTTTGTAGCCCCTCCTGCTCCCCAGGTGTCTGTGCAGCCCAGCCCAGTTGGGGTGCTGTCAGTGCAGCAGACCTGCCACTGCAGATGCAGATGTTTTCCCTGCATGGTGTCTCAGGAGCAGGAGTTACCCTGAAGGTGCCCTTTGGGGCCTGGGTTATGAGCTGGAAATGCTTCACAAAGAGACACTTGGGGCTAAGATGCTCATGTGCATATAGGTGATAGTGCTAAGCACTGACAGACTCCTGCCAAGAAGAGAGGATCTTAGAATTTTCAGACATGCATGTTTAAATACAAAAACTCAAATAAGTGTCAGTGCAGCTCCTGTGAGTGGCACAGATTTACTGTGTACTGGTTTGTTTTTCTTCCAGTGATGTTTTTGCCCAAGAAAACAAAAGACAAGGAGGTTGAGTCAAAGAGCCAGTGTATTGAAGGAATCAGCAGGTTGATTTGCACAGCAAAACATCAGCAGAACATGCTGCGTGGTAAGTGCATGGCTTGCATCCCGTTAGGCTCTGGGATGAGGCTCAGATGATTGTCCTCCAGGCAGAGGGCTGACTTGGTGTTCTGCCATGTGCCCTGGTGCCAGCATGATGGGGGTGTTTCTGGGGAACAGGCTTAGATGTATCCAGCGTGGGGGAATGCTTCAATAGGTCTGGGATGTGGGAAAATCCTCCCTTACCTATGAACTTCTCTGAATCAATGCTCTGAATGAGGACAAGGGCTGGACCAGGCTCCATTCTCCTCCCTTACATTCACTGTTTCTCTTGCACAACTGGTACAAGTGTTGGTTGGTGGCAACTGGTGAGAGTGTGGCTGCTCCTATGGGCAGGTTGCTGGCACACAGACACGCCACAGCAGGAGCCATATATTCATCTGACAGGCAGATCTGAAGTGGCTGTCACTGGAACTGAACATTCAGGATCAAAAATATCCCTGTAGTCTGTTCAGTTGAGAATCTCCAACAGAGGGACCTGCCTGGGTCACCTCCTTAATCCTGGCCCAGTCTGAGGCTGGTGAGCATGAGAGGTACTCACAGAACATGTCACCTCTCTAAGAGACATGGGTCTCCTGGTTAGAGTGCCAGTGAGGAGAGACCGATGTGCAGCTCTGTAAGAGTGCATTTGCCCAAAAAAGAAAATGAAGTGTGTTTAGGAAATCTGAGCAATCGGATCAGATGACACTGAAATCAGCAGCCTGGGGAGCTCTGGTGTCGGTGAGCAATTCTGGAACAACAGTCTGAGCTGTTCTCCCTAAACCTGGTCTAATCCCGAGCCTTTCTTCCCCCACGTGTGCAGCTGGGTGGGGTAGTCGGGCAGAGCAGTGCGTGGCCAGGCCTCCCTCTGCCGACTGCAGGGAGATTTCCAGCAAAGCCATTTCCCCTCCCTATTTTCTAACTTTTCCTCTCTTTTTGCCCTCCCCTGCAGTCCTGATTGATGGGGTGGAGTGGAACGATGTCAAGTTCTTTCAGCTGGCAGCACAGTGGTCCTCCCATGTCAAGCACTTTCCCATCTGCATATTTGGACACTCCAAATCTAACTTCTAGCTGTGCTCGGCGGAGGGACCTTCTGCCTGTCCCAGGGACTGCACACCAGGAGCCAGGAACTGCGTGCCAACTCTGACTCGCGTCGCTCTGCCCTCTCCTGCAGAATTAATTACAGATGTGCTTGGATTACTTTTGAATTACTTTTTTCTATTAACTCTTAAGTTTACTACAAGGGAAGGAAACCCCTTTAAACAAAGGCAAAAAAACCCAGTCTTAAATATAGATGTGCTGACAACGTGAAGTCGTGGGGGAGTTGGCAGGAGCAGGCAACCTGCCCGAGAACACCTACCACTTACAAGCAGATAGCTGAATAACTGCACTGCTTATTAACCTGAGACCTCATTGGTGTGAGTGGGCTGGGGGAGCCGTGCATCAGCTCAAACGGATTTTGCAGAAGATCATGTGTGTTACTGTACATTTGGCCCCCTCCCTCTATACTTCTAGGAGAAAAGGGTGGCCAGTCTGTCTTCCTGCTGCCAAAGGACGGGAGATCAGCGAGTCTGGAGGGAGTTCAACGGTCCAGTTTGGAAAACAAACCACTTACATAGCTAGAGAGGTCTGGAGAGGGGATCCCCTTTGGAGCATGGAGCCTGCCATGGGGACAGGCAGGTGTTTGTGCTGAAGTGATGCCTGAGGAGGGTTAGGCAGGAAGAGTAATTAGGGAAACACTAAGAGGAAGGAAACTCCAGTGTCCCAGGTCTGTGACAATGACCAAACCAAGCCAGTCACCATGTCCCCACAGCTGGCTGTGCTGCAGAGGGACACCGTGTCAGTGGGGTCGCTGCTATTTACATACTCACACCAATTATTTACCTGTCAATAAAACCTCGTCCAGCCTCTAAAGGGAAAGGATTTTTTTTAACAGCTGCAGATTTTTTTTAATGCTTTCTAAAAAAAATAAAATAAAATAAAAAATAACAGGAAAAAATTAATTTGCCAAAACCAAAAAAACAACAAACCCAGGAAGATGAGCCGTTGCCTGTGGAGTGATATATCACTGGATTGGCTGGACTGGGAGCCAGCCAGGCGCTCTGCGTGTCCAGCTGCCTTCCTGTCCATCTGTCAAACTGCACACATGAGGTAGTGTGGGATGCTCTGTCTGCTGCCTGCATCCTGCCCTGACCACACTGCTCCCTGGAGCCTGCCTGGCTTCAGGGCCCTTGTCCTCGAACCACTCAGGATCTCTCCTCATGGGAACTGAAGGAATGTAACAGAAATGAAGGGTGCTCAGGGCAGGCAGCCTCCCGTGGGCTGCTCTGGAGGTGGACATTGTCCTTAACTTCTGCTTCCTGAGTATTCCTCCCCACAAGTGTTTCTCTCTAGATCACATCCTTTCCCCAGCAGAATATGCTTTTCCTCTGGCATGGCATTGCCCGTGGGTTGAGGCTTTGTGAGAGGTTTCAGCTCCAGGGTGCAGAATGGAAGCTGTCATTGGAATGTGAGTGAGAATGAAGCCAGACAGGTTTTCTGTCCACTTTGGTCAGCAAGATGTCCTGTGAGATGGAGGACTGAAATTCTAGGGTATCTCTGTTGGCTTGGCTCTGGCTGCACTTGTGTTCAGTTTGTATGCCTTGTTGCTGCCAGGGATGCTCTTACAAGGAGACAGCGGGACAAAGGTGCTGCAGATTGGGCCTTTTGCACTCCAGGCTTCCCAAAGCTTGCCTGGGAGCAGGTGGCAGCTGGGATTTGGAGAGGAGAGTGTCCTTGCTATGGGGAAGAACAGACATCTCTGGCATTTCAGGGTAAGAGACTAAAATTTCTGATGGGTGCTTTTAGGTCCCACCCCTGTGGACAAGCCAGGCACTGGGAACATTTCCAGAAGGCACTTTCTGAGGGCAGTGATGCTTTTGAACCTTTTTTTTTTTTTCAATCTGATTCCTTACCTTTGGGTTTTTAAAGGCTTGGGGCACCCACTTTTGTGCTGCATAGCTCTGCACAGGGCCCACACGGGTTCTTTTGGGCAGGGCAGTGGTGGTGTGCTCTGCTGGGCCTTCTGCTGACAGGGAGTGAGGAGTTAAGAAGTGAGAGCTGGATCTAGTGCCTGGCAGAGCTCACAAAACCCTTTCCCAGCACAAGTGCAACCTACTTGGCCAGGGGCTGGGTATTCCCTTCAAACCATGCAGGGGAGGAGGATACGGTCCCCTGCCCAGTGACAGGCTGCTGGGTAGGACAGATTGTCTAGCTGCAATACTCTGTGCTGCAGGCAGGTCTGCCTGCTGGCTCTTGGCTGTGGCAGAAGTTTGGCTGTAGTTGGGCTGCTGTCAGGTCCCTCAGTTCACGTGTGTTTGGTTGACCTGAGCTGGTGCTCTGGGACTGTATAGCATTGTCTAGCAGTGGCAGCATGGAAGATGGCATATAAGCACATCACTTCTTTATCTTTATTGAGGCTGCTGCATCAGAAAAAGCTCTGTAAAGGAAATTAGTCAGTTTGTGATTTCTTCCTCGAGTCTCATGCTGGTGTGACAAGAACAATCGTGCTGGGTTCCAGCATCAGGAGCCGCACGCAGCCCGGGCAGCTCTCAGTGCTGGAGTGTGTTACTGCTGCAGAGCTGGGGTGGACTGACTGCAATAACTTTGTTTACTGGGGGGTGAGGGGAGAACCATCACTGTGCTCCTCTTTGTATTTCAATCTACTGTAAAGAAAAAAACTGGTAGCTAGGACAGGATTTCCAGGGTCCTGCCTATCAAATGTGTGTTGCCCTGCTGTACTCTCTGTGTGTGTGTGTGTATGTGTGAGAGAAACACTTCTGCTCGTTGGATTTCATGTTGGTTTGTGTTTTGTTCTAACTATATACAAGCAAATTCAGTGGGAAACTTTCCGTACACCTGAGGGCTTGTGTCTCTGCAGGGTTTCTCCCCTGTGGAATGCTGTTGTTGCTCTGAAGTGCTCTTCCATGCAAGAAAACATCCTGAAGTCTCAACCTTGTCATCCTGGAGGGAGTCCAGCAGTAGCAGGCTGGGCTTGCCCAAGGGCAGCTGTGTGCCCAGGGTGTGAATGTGGTGTTTCCTGGCCCTTGAGGGCAAGGGCTGGCCGTGCAGATTTGGTGGCGCAGCTCAGATCAGGCTGTTGTGCCTCTCTTGTTTCTCTTGTATCACGTGGAGCCACTTTGTGTGGCTGTTTCTGTCCCTGACTGGAAGAGAAACAGATTTCTGTCTCTAAGGAAAATGAGTGTCACAGCATGTATGTGGCTCAGACCTTTTTGGAAAGGGGCTTTGCACCTGATGAATAAGAGGTGAATGAGTGACTGACCTCAGGTCTCCCACCCTCCCACCTTCCCCCACAGTTTCTGGGGGGACCCTGCCAGGAATAAGCCCCACTAGCCAGAGGGATCCCTGCTCCAGGACCACGGAAAGCTGCTGGGGCAGCAGTGGGCCTGTGCCTGTAGAGCTGTGGCATCCTGTGGGGTTGGGTGATTGCAAGTCAGTGAGTGCAGAAGGATGGCTCAGAGCCGAGACAGCACTACTCTGCCTTTGGCTCTCTAGAGTTTGGGCGGGGAAGGTACATCTCAAATGAAGAAAGGCAGTGGGGTTGTCTCCCAGTTCGGGCTTGCTTTTGAGCTGTGCAGTCTGACAGTGAAGGCAGGGGCTGGGGTGGGCAGCATCTGAGCGGATCTCCAGAAGGGAGGTGCTCTTGAAGGCAATGTCTGTCCCCTGGTGTCCCTGTTCCTTTATGTCCCAGAGCTTGCCCCTGCTCCCTGTGGAGCCTGTCTCTCCAGCTCCTCTGGCTGTGACTTCTCAAAGCAGCCGGTTTCTTTTCCAGCTGCAGTTGGAGAAGGCCCCCGCCTCGCTCGGAGGTGAGCTCTCGGGAGCGGGCTCGCTGCCGCGCCGAGCTGCGTGACGCTGACCTACTTTAACAGCGCTGGCAAGGAGATGAAAGATGGAAGGGTTTTGTGGCATTGTGTTGCACCTTGAGTGCTTCCTGGTTTTCTGGCTTAAGTTTCCTGGAGACAAAGGCTGGGCTTCAGCCCTGCCAGCGCTCAAGCAGGGCTGGCTCTCCTGCGGTGCTGGCGATGTCATGGACATCTTGGGCGGCTGTTTTAGCTCAGTGCTGCAGTTCCCATCCAGTTCAATTGTTACCATTTACATTGCAGTGGTAACTGCAGAGTCCTCCTTAATTACACATGAGTTTGGGGAGAGCCATGGTCTCTTTGGCTGTGTTTTGCTGCTTTAATTAGAACAGAAGATAAAGCTTGTGGCTTTATCCTGCAGAGAGGGCATAGGTAGGTGGCTGGGAGGTTTCTGGGGCTGAGGAGATGTGCCTGTTTGCTTTCCATCATCAAACTCAGCCAAGAACTACAATGCCCTGTGCTTAACCTGCGATTGCAGCACAGGCCCTGTTGTGTTTCTCACCAGCAGCGTGTGCTGGAGACAGCACAGGAGAGCCAGGGCAGAGGGCATTGCACCTGGCATTTCCAAGTTTAAGAAGAAAATCCTGTCAAAAGACAGCAGAGGCGATGGCCTTCTCCTGCTTCTTGGTGTGCTGAGGGATCGGAAAGGCTGGGGTTAGGACAGTCCTGCCATGCGGTAGTAGTGGACTGGGGGTCCTGGAGCTTTCTTGAAGCAAGGTAGGATGCAATGCCTCTGTCCCCTTCGGGGAGGGCTCGATCTCAGTGGATGCCTGCGTGGTAGTGTTTCGTGTGGCACTTCCTGTGGGCTTACCTGGCAGGAGAAGGCCAGAAATGAGCAGCAGCATCACCTGGAGCCTCTTCAGCAGTGTTGTCATGGGAGATGTTCCTGGCAGGGCCGGCTCCTGCAGGATCACTTGGGTGCTTTGGGACAGCCTGGGGTGAAAGGGGACGTGCCACTTGCAAAGCAGCAGGTCACTGACTTCCTTAAGGAAGAGCACCAGTTTGGGGCCACATCCAGGAAGCTGCTGCTTTGCTCCTTGGCCAGAGAGCTGCCAGGGCGTGTTGCCTGCCTGGTTGCACATACGTGGTGGCTGTGGGGAAGCGCCCTGTGAGCACAGTTCCTGGGCTGCGTGCCGCCAGGCTTGTCCAGACCAGGACATCATCACTTTGTAGATTCTCGAGTTGTCCATCTGTTTCATTGTTGTATTGTTTGGGTTCTAGGGTTGTTTTTTATGAAGACAGATTAAATGTAAATAGCCTTTTTTGGAACAAACTGCAATGTGCTCGACCTCGTCAACTATTTTATGGTACTAATGCAACACTAATAAAACTGGACATGAAAGCACACACCCGTCCCCTGAGTCGTCTCTCAGCAGGGGCTGCTCTGGCATGACTGGGGCAGTTGTCTTCAGCAGGAAACAGCAGCATGACTTTCTGGGGTGGGGGGATCTCTTGTGTTATTTATCCAGCTGCCTGGCAGCACTTCCAGGGCAGAGCTGGTGGCTTGGCACGTCCTGCCCAGCACTGAGCTCTCCTGTAGTTTTTGCAGCCCTGTTGCCCTCTCCACTGTCCCTGCTGCCTCCTTTCCCTGCAGCTCTCCTGGATCTGACAGCCCTCTCCAGTCCTCACCTCCTCGCAGCAAGAAGGGACCAGGCTGGTGCCAGTTTCTGGTCTGGGGGCTGTGTTGGATGGACATGGTGGTGTTTGGGTATGAAGAGGGGGGCATCTCAGTGGGAGAAGATTGAGGCTGTGGTAGCTTGTGTGCGCTCCTGGGAGCACCGTGAGAGAGGAACTGGGATGTATGGGATTCAAACACCTAGGCTTGGTGCTGGGGAGTCAGAAGGTGAGAAGAGCTAAGCATCTGTTTTGAGGCAGGGAGGTGAAGAAATTTTGGGTAATGGGCCATGGCCTTGGTCTCTAGTATACAGCATGTTGAAGGCAGCGGGGAGGATGCCAAGCTGGAGCAGCCTGCATCCCCGTGATCCCCTGACCGAGGGTGAGGGGTGGAGGAGTGGCTGCTGATGGAGCAAGGAGCTGTGGTGAAGGGAGCCCCTTGCAGTGGGCCAGGCTGCTCTCAAAGCACTCGGGTCTCAGTGGATGTTCTAGCCCCTCCGTGTGGCCTGGCCAAGTGCAGGCACATTTATGACCCGAGCCCTTTGCTGTAGAAGGGGACACAACTCTCACCCAGGTGGTACGGAGCAGGCATTGGCTCATTCCAGGCAGAAGGAAGGTGGGTAGCTCAGGAGAGGGCAAATTCAGGACTCCTGAGTGCAGAAACAGCACCAAAAGCCAGAGAGAGCCTGGCTGCTGGTGAGATGGGGGAAGCACTGTGGGGCAGCTTGTGTAGACAAGCGTGTGAAGGCCGTTTTGGCTGTGTACTTTTTGCACAGGTTTAGCTATAAACTTGCACTGAGGGCACAGCTGTGTGAAAGAGGCACATCCTGAGCTTCACTTTTTAGAGTCCATGGAGGAGCCCATCTCAGTATGGGAAGGAGGGTGCAAGTGGAGGGGACTGAGGTGATGGGAAGGCTCATGTGCTGCTGGGGGAAGCAGAGGACCAGCCCCACATCAGTGGGGAACACACCAAGTCAAATGCCCTGGTTGGACCCTGGCTGGTCCAGCTGTTGCTTAACCTGGAAGAGGAACAGCAGGGAAGTTCCGACACGTTTTTGCTGCTGTCGTTTAAAGCACACTTTAGCATCTGGAAAAAGCAGTCAACACCACGTGACCCTCCGCTTCTTCATGTGCAACTTCCGAGTGCCCTGTGATGCGATTTGTAAATATTTATTCTGGATAATTTTCCTGTATCCTACTGGATTATTTTTTGCTCTGCTTAATGGTTGCTGAAGCAGCCTGGAGAGAGCCAGCCCTCCCTCGTGTCCTGCGGTGTGCTCGGTGCCTGTGCCGGCACACGCTTCCCTGGCTGGCTCAGAAAGGAGGAAATATCACAGTGGTGCTCCCTGGTGCACTGACCTTTTTTGGCTGACCAACTTTCACCCCCAGAAGTGTTCTCCTCACTCAGCCGTGCTCCTTGCACACGTTGGAAACATGTAAGCAGAGCCCTGTGCCCTACTGGGATCTGAGGACTGTCAGATTTGGTGTTGTAGGGGTTTATTTTCCCTAACACGCAAAGCAAATTTTAACAAAAGCCCTGTTCTTTCCAAAAAAAATATGTATTTTGGCAGATGTCAATGTTTAGGTGGTCTTGCATAGCTGTTTCAGGACTTAGGAGAACCAGGGTTGAGAGTGCAGGTAGAGGCTGTGCCCAGCCCTCATAAAGGGCTTCAGCAAAAAGTTTCATGACAGATATTTTTTGGCCATTCTGACCTGTCTGATTTTGTGGAGGGGTCCTGGGCTGACACCTTGTTCTGGTTTAAAGGTAAACCAGCAGGGGAAAATGAACTCAACACTTGGACAGGAGCTGTGCACAAGTGAGGAAGAGGTGTACCTGTGTGGTGCAGCCCTGGTGCACACAGGACCGGTGACCTCCCCAGGTCAGTGGGCAAGGGAAAGCTAAAGCCATCAGCTATACTTCACTTCTAAGGTTGACACCCGAAGAGGGGGGAAAGCCCCAGCGTGGCAGTGGGTGACACAAGTGCAGAGGGAACAGTCCAGGCAGCCTGTCACCATTGTGGGGATCCAAGTGAGGCAGTGGAGGAGTGGGGCACGTGAGCAGGAGGTGTATGTAGGGCATGGGACTCCTGTATATGTAGGGCTGGAGGGACGTACAGGGAGAACATGTAGGTGCAAGTGTGAGGGGCATCTCACACAGTGTGAGCAGGCTGTGGGTGTGCTTGAGGAGGGCTGTGTCTGTGGAGTGACCTGTTGTTCCTGCCCACGGTGGGGACGGGATGGGGGTGTGTGAGGAACACTCTGTGTGTGTATGGACAGGCAGCATCTGCAAGCACAGGTGGTGCCTGTACATGGAGACTTGTGTGTGAATACAGGTGACACATGAGAAGGGCTGTGAGTACAGGCAGACGTGTGTGTGAGAACAGGTGGAGTGTGTGTAGGGCTGTGTATACAGGTAGGGTGCTATGAGGAAGGCTGTGTGCAAGTGCAGGCAGATGCATGTGTGAGGAGAGCTGTGTGTACAGACAGATGTGAGCACAAGTGGTGTTTGAGAGTGCGTGTGTGTGTGTGTGTGTGTGTGTGTCGGGCTGTACTTGAGGACAGGCTGTTGTGTGTGTATGAGGAGGGCTGTCCATGCCGGAACAGGGATGGTGTGCGAGGATGGCTGAGCATGTGTGGGGACTGGAGAGCTGGGTGAGGAGAACTGTGTGAAGACAGGGGTGTGTGTGTGACCGAGGGGTGGCCAGGTGTGTGTGTGCGTGTGACTGTACGTGAGCACAGGTGGTATGTGCACGTGAGGAGGCTCTGTGTGTGTGAGGAGAGGCCGTGTATGTGCGTGTGTATGAGGACAGGCAGTCTGTGTGTGTGTGTGTGTGTGCAGGCAGCCTCTGTGCATGTGCGAGGACCGGCGATCTGCGTGTGCACACAGGCAGTCTGACCTCGTGTCTGTGGATGTACACGCAGTCTCTCCCTCTCTCCCTCCTCCCGTGTGTGTGAGGAGGCCGTGCTGCCCCCAGCCCCGCTCCCTCCCGTCCCGTCCCGTCCCGTCCCGTCCCTCCCCTCGCGCAGCCGGAGCGCCGCCCTCTCACGCCGCGGGCGGGCGGCTTCGGCTCCTTCCCCTCCCTTCCTCCCTCCCTCCCTGCCGCTGCCGCCGCCGCCGGGCCCCCTCCGCCGGGCCGCCGGGCCGCCGGGCCGCCGCCCCGCCCTCCGCCTCGCTCCCTCCCCGTCCGCCGGCGCGGCCCCTTTAATTCCCCCGCTCCCCTCCCCCGCCGCCCGCTCCAGCCTCCATTTTCCAGCGGATCCGGCACCTGGAGGCGGCGGGAGCGGCCCGCGCCCCGCACTCGGCCCGGTCGCGGGCATGGCCGCCAACATGTACCGGGTCGGAGGTAAGAGCGGTCCCGGCGCCGCCGCCCGCCCGCCCCGCGCTGCCCCGCGCTGCCTCCCGCTGCCTCCCGCGTGCGGGCGAGCGGCGCTCGGGGCCCGGCGGGGCAGGCCCGGGGCGGGGCGGCGGCACCGGGGGGGGCCCGGGGCAGCCCGCGGGGGAGCCCGGGGGGGCTCCGGGGGCGGGAGCGGGGCAAGGGCCTGGGGGGCTGCGGGGAGGAGAGGCCCGGCGTGGGGTTAAACGGGGTGAGGGGCTGCGGGGCCCGGAGCGGGGCGATCCGGGGCGGGGGGCGCAGCGGGATGGCCGAGGTGAGGGGCAACAGCATCATGGGGCCGTAAGGGGCTCGGGGGTGCGGGGAGATGGGGCATGTGAGATGCGGGCTGGTGGGGGCTCGGGAGGTTTGGGCAGGTCCAGGACTGGGGCAGGGGGAGGTGGGGGAGCGGGCTGGAGCGGGGCAGCCCTGGGGCCGGGCACCGGGATGGGGCCCGGGGAGCAGTGGCTGCTCGGATGAGCGTCATGGGAGGTTGTCGGAGTGGGGAGCCAGGAGGAGTTGCTGAGATAAGGAGCACAAAGATGGGCACAGGCTGCTGATAGACCGGGGGGCTGGCGTGAGGCACGTCCTGCAGATCTTGGCCTCCCCTTCCACTCTCGCTGTTCTGTTGTATGCTTTCCCATTAGTCTTCTATTCAGGGTTGCGCTCCTGTCTGATTGTCCTTTGTTTTGGCTCACGTGAAGAGAAAGGAGAGGCGATGGGGTTTGGGACTGCATTTTATGGAATATAAACTGAGGGTGGTCTGGCATGAATTTGTGCTCGGCCATTTTCCTTCCTAAAAGCTGGTCCGTGGAGCTTCCTTCTCCCCAGGACTACAGGATGTACGGGAAGATGTTTTCGTGGAGTTCTCTCCTTTTCTAAATGCCTTGTTTCTTGTGGAGTTCTGCAAAACTGGAGTAAAGTAAACAAGACAAAAAATATAGCAAAGGTGGCCAAGCCATCCTGTCTGGCTGTGCTCCATCAACAACTACTTTCTGATCTTTCTGCTGTTCTGGCCTAGCCTTACTTTGTGCTCTGAAAAATGCTACTTCTTTTGTCACGTTCATACTATTTTTTTGGTTGTGCCTGGTTTTGTAGAGGGATAAGGGATGACTCTTGGCTGTCCCAGCTTTGCGTCTTGGGTTGCTCCAAGCTGATAGTGTGCATGTAGTGTTGTGTTGGGGTGGACATGCTGAGAGCAGAAGGATAGTGGGCAAGATGAGTTGTGAAAATTCACCCTGGTGTGACTTGCAAAGGGAGTTGTTTCCTGGAAATTATTGTTTGTCTTTTAATGGCCAAGTTTTGTGGGGAATGTCATCTCTTAGCATTTTGTATGGCTAAATCTGTACTGTGCATCCCACA